CTGTCCGGCCAGGATAGAACCTGTGGGGAGGTACAGTCACTGCACGATCACTAAACGGAGTTGGGCTGAGAAATGAGGCAAGGGACAAGAGGACCGATGACACAGAAAAGTACGGACGGCTCTAGTGTCTCCACAGAAGACATCTTAGCCTGAATAGACCAATTAATCCAATCTAATCCATACACCTTAGGATCAAAACACTCTGCAAGCCCGGTCATGAGCACCACCGACCTCAGGTCCGAGGACGGGCTTAGGACACTCACCCTGTCTGAGCTGCAAGGCGGCGAGATCGACGGCTGTGCAGACGAGCTCTTCGATGCGTATATGAAACTTGTGCAATGCGACGCTGTAGTACCAGCAATTTTCAAGGTAACTCCAGACCTTTTCATTCCGACCCTTCTTATTCCGGCCCTTTTACTTACTAATAAGAAACAGCCAAAAATCTTCGGCCGACGTCGTGCCCAGTAGAGTCCTTCAGGTAGCACTCCGTGTCCTTTCTGCCTTCTATTGACACATTGTGTACGCGCATCCCCGTTTTTCCACCTACTCCCAGCAGATGGTTGTTTATTGATAACTCTTTGTAAGTGTTTGCACTGCTGGCTACTATTGTTTCAATAGCCTTACTCAATTCACCGCTCTTTATGTTCATATGGCGTCTTAATTAACACCTCGTGAGCCGCAGAACCACCGTCCTCATCTTCCCCAACGATCTCGTCCCACGCCACAACTTGGGCAACGTGCTCGAGAGCAAGACGGTCAATTACGCCGTCACCACGGCTCCGTCTCCCGTCATGAAGGACTCGCTTCAGCTCGCGCTCAATAGCGAGACCTCGGCCATAACCTTGTTTGGAGCGTACAGGCTTTTGCAGATACTGCGAGCGATTGCGGGCTCGGCATCGGTGCTTGGAACGTGGTGAAACGAGCTTTTACGTCTTCTTTAGAACGCGTGGCTTGTGCTCTGGAAGAATATTGACCTTTTATCTCTCGTCAAGTGCTCGCCGGCACAGGTTGAGATCTTGTTTCGCGATCAGGAAATGACAATCTGTAGCAGTTACCGGCCACCGCCCGCTCACATTTATTCCGCTGCAGGCTCATCAGACGCGGATAGAGTCGTCTGGAGCCGCTCAATCAGGAAATTGTATATTGTTCTACGAAAAGGCACTTCACTCAGGGTGGCAGGGAGAAACATCTGAGCTACAGCACAGTGTAGTATCTGCGCCGCCGACAAGCTTGACGGATGCACGCCGCTTTTGTGGCCGACCTTGAACTTGGCCAGTATGAGTAACAGCTTGTACTCTGAACCGTATAGGATATGATGCTTGGTTGTCCTGGTTGGCTGTCCAGCCGAGTCGGGATCCTAAGCAATACTCAAGTGGCGTAGGTTGAGCAGTATAGCGTCAAGATCCGCTTCAATCAATGGAAGGCGAAGTTGGCCACATTGGTGCCGAGTTGACGCTTGTCTTTGCAATTTGAGCGTGAATGATGCCTTTCGTTGCTTCAGAACCCATGAAGAAAGCTCTTTGTATAAATCGGAATCGTCATGTAGCGCATGTGAAAGAAAAATTCGGACCAAATGATCAAGATTTGGGTGAATGGCTCGAACATGCTGATACCGCCTCCAAAGTTGACGATGTCAATCACGCCGCTGCAGTGCCCAAACTGTCTCAAGAATAAATTACTAAACTAATGAACGTATCTGACAATAGATCAAGAAGGTGATCAAGCTCATTTTCCATTAATGAGACTTCGATCATAGAATAACGATAGCTACATAGCCTACTCAAACTAGGTCGTATCTACAAGATAGACGCAATTCGACTAGGATGAGGAGACTTCGACCTAGAAATTTCGGATATATTCGTGTCCGTCAAAGGCATCGTACTCCCTAGCCTCCAGGGCCTACCAACCAAACAATGATCTCTGGGATCTATACGATCAAAAATAATACCTCGGACTAGAATAAGACAAATGTATCGCTAGGATCTGTCTAAAAGCGGAGCAGGCCGTGCAAGGCAGTAAGGAACTTGCTGATGAGCCTTCCAACCACATCCGATTTCGCCTTCGCGGCGGCGGGAGCAGAAGATGCAGAAGGTGCGCTGTTAGACGCGATGGCGGCAAGGGTGCCAAGCTGCTGCCCGAGATCGGTAATCGAGGGTGCCTGGGTGGAGACGGATGTAGATGAAAGCGTGAGGCTCTTGAGGCTATATGGGCCAAGCATAGCTGGAGGAGGGACGAGACTGGGAAGGGCGATGGAGAGGGGCGCTGCAGCAATCGAGGTGGCATCGGTGACGGAGGCTGCTTCAGTCTTGGGTGCATCCCTAGCAGTGATCGGTATGGAGGAAGGCGTTGAGCTCTTGAGGCCATGTGGGCCGAGCATAGCTGGAGGAGGGACGAGGTTGGGATCGAGGGAAGAGGGGCGCCGTAGCGATCGAGGTAGCGGCCTGGCGCCTCTCGAGAGGAACACCGAGGACGAGAGCTCTAAGGGCTAGGATAGCCACGATGAAGTTTGAAATATACATCCCTATTGGGTAGAAAATTTGGGAGTATAAGATATTAGTGCAATAAAAAGTTGATTAACAGCAGTGGAGTAGAGGGTTTGACAGATTCTTGTGAGTAGAGATTGTTATCGCAATGATGGCTTCTAATGTGTCGGGTTGCCCAGATATATATTACCTCGAGTCGCGAACTTTAACTCCGATGTCTAGACCTCTGAGTGTGTACTTATCCACGATGTCTACTATGGTCCAGCCTTACCGTACTTCAAAGCCTGTAACCCGGAGCTTTGGGAGGTTTTCTGACCCTGAAAACTCCGAAAAAGCTAGTGGTAGAACACAGGAGCTTCCCATTCAGTAGAGCTTTTTACATAGAGGCTGATAGAAGATAGTACGTGATTGCTTATCACCGCTAACTTGTTGCAAAAAGGCTTTCGATCACATATAGAAATAAGGTTTTGCATCGTGAAAAGAAACATGAACTACACCCGCCACACTTGAAAGTCGTACAGTAGCTTCTAAATTACCCTCTTGTTCAATGCGTGTGGATGGAGCTGGCTCGTGACTGGCCCGCAACCGATTTATTCTTTTGACAGCAAAAAGATTGTGGGCACGCATTCGGATAATGCAGTATGGATACCGCGTCTACGCTGTCCTTAACGGTCATGTGCATTGCATCCCTTGTTTCATGCGCCATGGTTATCGGAGAAGACTCCTACTGACTGTAACCTTCATTGTACAAGTTTAGAGGCCTCTGATCGGGACGGTCTCCGCATACGACATAGTTTTGCGACTTAAGGAACCGGCCGCAACCTTATCACGATCTCGACCCACTTTTCCGGTGACTACCGATCGAGCCGGTGTGCAACATCGAGTTTTTTGGCCCAGAGTTTGATTAGCGGCCGTTTGCCTAGTTGTTTTTTGTTTTTTGTTGGTAGAAAGTAGTGACTTGGTTCAGGCGGAGGATCTATAGAGTCTAGTATTGAGGTGAGCCTCAGGTGCGCACTATCTCCGCATCGGATATGGTTTAGTCGACGGTGGCTGATCGGATTTAGGCATTAGCATCGCCCGAGTTCCCGAGACGGTACGGTCCGCATCGGCCCTGCGTTTTAGGCGAAAATAGATCACGCCTCCTGCGACTAATGCGATCGGTTAGCGCTAGTCAGTGGCAATCACCTTCGTGTACCATCAAGTGGTCACTGGCAGTAGCAAGAGCCCAAGAATATCAGGGGTTCGCAACACCTGCCGCATCAATTGCGAGAGTGGCAATGACAAAGTGCGCAGTAGCACGATCGTCGAGCTTGTTATAGTCAACACGTACCTCTCGTCGGACGAGGAGCAGATGGCTAGTAACTTTAGAGGGTGCAAAATTCAGTGGTGTGCTCGATTCATTCGAAACACTACTTTGATCGGTGAAAATTTCTTTCCTGGAACTTTTACGGACTTCACGTTTCCTAAATCTAGGAGTTCTCCCGGCGATGGGGTTGCATATACATGGAGAACCTTTGATGTTGCAAAAGACGACCGCTCTTTCCCCGGCAACAAAACCTCTTGATGGAACATGAGCCCAATCGTTGAATGATCGATGCCTTAATGCCTGATCTGATTAGGCTTTCTATTTGCCTCGACTACAGTGTAAATGTCTATAGCCAACACCACTAGTCAGTTAGAAGAACAAACAAGAAACCCATTATCGGCTTCGCGAACAGGTTCCCATTTTGAGGCTCGCGTGACCGAGTTCTATAATAACTAACGCCACTCTCTATGCAGAAGAATAGCCAGAAGTCCACCTTTAGCTTCGCAGGTCGCTTCCCAGTTTGAGCCTCGCATGATCAAGTTCCATCAGGTTTCAAAAGATATCCAATTCTTCTGCAGGGGTGATGCTCTCCATGTTTCCGTCGAATAGCAACATCTATCCAAGCTCAGGCGCTGTCCGAAGAAATAGCTGCTCCTCTAACTCTGAACTCTGGGTATGCAACGCTCTGATCGGCTTTGGACACTTTGCACTGCAATCTCGTCTTCCGAACAGTCGGAGGAAGCGGCTGCAACCCCATCGAATTGGACTGTGCTAACCCGTCAAGGCCAAGGTTCCGGGTCGTAGCAAGGATGGTCGAAAACGATGTGCTTGCACTGTAACCGTTTACATAAAATGCCCAGGTCCCGAGAAGGATTGAGATGAAAGTGGCCAGGGTCCCTACAGCGTAGGCAAGGAGTAGGTCCCTCGTAGAGTAATGCCAGTAGTTTCGAGGATACGAAATAGAAATCTCGGATGCCATTTTTTTTGATAGGACTTCACTGCTCACTATGCTCAAGGTAAAGTTACGGAAAAGGTCTTCGACGGCCTTTTCTACCGACTGATTTCGACACATCCACGGCGATGTGACTTGGTCCATAGGAGGAGCACTGAGAAACCCGGCGGTTCGCCAGATTTGAAGTATCTCTGGACATGCCATTATGCCGGTGTTCATGATTGCCAGGTCTCCCCCTTTCAGTCCCGAGGAAGATAAGCCGTTAGGGGTTGCTACTGTCCCAGATAGCAGGTTTGCCATGGCCATGAACATCGACACAAATGGCTTGCTGGAGCCTGGAAGTTCGTCCACAGGGTCCTGAGACGTGACTGTCACTGGAGAAATGAGATCCAAACTCCGCACAACGGTCGATTGGACTCCATTGAGATATTCTACTTCGACCAAGTAGGAAGCGTTCCACATCTGACAGCTAATATCCTTTGGGGTTGCTCCACGCATTGGGTCTCCGCCTGTCCTGATGAAAATAAAGTTGTTCAGCCCGTCAGGAGCGACTGCGGTATACCAGACGGACGTCATGTCGATGTTGAACGAAGTTTGCCAAGCTTCAGACAGAGAGCTGCAATTCTGGCAACTGCCTACCGGCTCCTTGGATTGGATTGCAACGGAAAGAGGGTCGCACTTCAAGGAAGGGCCCGTAAACTGGTAGGAGTAAGATGCGTTTGGGAACGGCGCGTCTATGGAGAGGATCCTAGTCGAAGACGCAGTAGCGGTGAGTAAGCGTACCACGGCAGGCGACGGGGAGCTCATCATGCTGACTCCGACCTGATCAGACCAGACTCGAAGCTTTTCCGCGGAATCAAGAGAGAAATGTGGGTATGGAACAATGCCAGTAGTTGTGTTGTGGTCCATTCTCGACTTGACAGAAAGTGTAGATGGAGTAATCGCTGCCATTAATGGCAACAGCCTGCGCAACAAGACGGCGTCAGAAAATCCAATCAATATTCTTTTCCTTTTCTCTATTCTTGATCGGCACACGTACCACGGGGTTGTTGCAAGCATGACCAATACTTTTGCATTGCTGAGGACTCGGAAGTTCAGAAACGACTGCACGCTCGTCGTCAAGGAAAACAACGCGTCTAGGCTGTCGATCTCCATGGGTCTCTTCTTGACCACGATCCAGATGTACTGCATAAAAGCGATCCCGACTGCAGCAGAAAAGCTGGCCTTTGCAAGAAAAGTTAATCCAGTCCCAATTCGGATGGCCCATTGCTGTTGCTCGGGAGAGGAGACCACGGTGTTGTTCAAAGACCGATAAAAGACGTGATGGCCTGACCCAAAAGATACACCTGCCACAAAGAGTGCAGTCATCAAGACTGGAGCACTCCAGTAGCTCGACCAGGTGTTCCGAATCTTGGAGGTCCTTCCTGTTGGATCGTCGTCTTCAGCCTGCAGGAGTAGTTGTTCCACAATAGGAGAAGACCCTCCAGTCTTCTGACCAGAACCCCTCATAGAAGTGCTCATAGTGTTAAAGACACGCCTGTTGATGCTACCCTTGGTGGCCTGTTAGCCTTGGGGAATCGACGAAACGAAAGAGGAGGGGGTGGATGGAGAAATATACAATGTCAACAATAGCTGGAGAATTCGCCCCTTCTTCTGTCTGAAATCGCAAGTAGATCAAGCTTGCTTCTATTGGAGAACATCCCTGGGACAAAATGTTTGTGGCTTGTCAGCCATAGTCGGCCCACCACTGAATAGGAATCATGAGCGATGATAGTTTTGCCGCTTCCATGCAGGGGAAGGGTATTATCCCTTCCTTTGAGATAGGCACATAGAATGAAGGAATCTATCGCGCATGGGCCTGCTGCAGACCGTCTTGTGTGTTGCACCAGCGCAGAACGTTTAGGCTTTCCTCACTAGCGCGCTAGGCGATATCGAGAAGGTCCCTGTCGGAAGCCGAGATATCCCCTAAATTGAAGGGTTCTGTGCCTCCCCCTGAATCCTAATCTCAGCTGAGAAGCCATGTTGGACTTTCCTTTCAAATCTGGGCAGCCGAACCGTCTCTAATAAGGCAAATGAGCCGTGTTTGGATTTTTAATCCTGGATAGTTGCGCCTCAAGCTCTAGAAAATAAGGTTGTAAGTAATTCAGAAGCATTAGTCCTCATGAAAAGCTCTGTGATTTACTCCTCTAGCCCATTGCCACACACTGCTTTATTGTAAATAGCCCTCTTTCCAATTCATTCCGCTCCGATTGGTTGTTTCTCACACCGTGCGCGGGCGGTCGGAGGAGTAGCTTTCAGTTACCTCGGCTAGCTATATTCGCTGTTCACGTGATAAGCCCAGCTCCTGCACCACAGGAGGAATGGTCACTGAAACCCAATTAGCCGGGTTACTACAATCATTCTTGGTAAAGATCGATTAAACCGATAAGGCAAACTAAATAATGGAACTAGATCATGTGAGCCTCAACACGGGAACCAGTCCCCGAAGCTGATGATGAATTTTTGGTTGTTCTCGACTAATGAGTGGCGCTGGCTACAGACATTTACACTATAGCCGAAGCAAACAGAGAGCTTAAGCAAATCCGGCATTACATAGTAATACATTGGTCATCTAACGGTTAGTCTCACATTCTATTAGTAGGTAAGAGTTGAGGCGAGCTTTCATTTATGCTGGGATGGCTGGAGTGGGAGATAGGACTGGCGGACTCGCTCACTGGTTGATGGGCTAATTGAGTTATAGAGACGAGAAATAAGTTTGGTTAAGGCAGTGATCAGTCCCTGAAGTTGACCGTTCGACTGTCCAGTCGAGATAGGAATGATGGGAGGGCGCAATAGTAGCTGCATAATCGCTAGGCGGAGTTGGATGGAAGGCGCGACAATGTATGTAGGATGGCTTTTATGTTTCCATAGAAATTATCGTAGCCAGCACAAGCTAATCTATATATCTCAGGCTTTAGGGTCGTGCAATGAGGGGTCGGAGTGCGCTGATTACTAAAGAAACCGGTTGCTCAGGGCAACGCTAAAACAACCAGACCAAGAAAATAGTCCAGCATCCTGCCCACCATAACCTACCTCCACAACGCCGCTCTCACGACAATGTCTACTCGCTCTTTGCCGTATAAAACATCCACAGCACATTTAAATAGCATCACCGCCTTATCGACCCAACAGTTTTTCCCACCAGCGACGAACCCGTCCGACACCGCGAAACTCTGGAAGCGCGTGCGCAAAAAGAATATGTCACAACTCCCACGGGCAGCTGGGCGCGCCAGCAGACGAGGGCGTGGCTGAGGCACCCCCATCTCCCCCGAAGATGCCCGCGATGGGCCAGCGTCGCCGCCGTCGCCCCCAATGAGCTCGATGCACGCGCCCTCCGTTGTCAGCTCTGCGGCGAATACTGCCGCCGCGCCCCGTAGCATGCGTACCAACGTCCGCAGCCCCCGCTTTCCATAACTAGTCCTCCAGCCACGCCGCATTGACATCGACAAAGCCAAGCGGGCAAATCCAAGCGCGTTTGCACATTTTTGGCACGTCTGACGCGCCGTCCGACTACCGCCAGCTCCCAGGCCTGGCACAAATCGACGTTTGGGTGGAGGATGATACACACGGGTTCGAGGGAATTGTAGAAGAATACCGAGAGATGAGGCTGCAAGGCCTTGGCGAGGCTGAGTTCGCCACCTTTGGCAAGGACTGCTTCTTCCGGGGCCAGCGATGGGCAGTGCGGGTGGCGGAAGGCTCGCTGCTGCGCGCCGAACGCATGGTCCAGCCAGTTTCTCTGCCGGACGACGACACGTGGCAAGTCCCGCCAGTGTTGCTCCCGGAAGAGGATGCAGGTTTAGGGAATGCTGCCGCTGGTGCCGCGTGGGCTGGCGACGTGCGGCCGGATTGCAGCTATCGGCTGTCCCTGCGCGGCTTTAATTACGAGTACTCATTCCAGTTGCAGACGGTCACGTATGCCAAAAGCAATGCGCTTTGTCCTTACCTCACCATCGAGTTTAAGCGCGACGGCGAGCCCAAACATGTTGCTATCGCCCAGGTCGCGGCCGCCGGCGCCATCGCGCTCTATAATCGATTCCGCCTCTACCGCTCTGCAGTGGTTTCCCAAAACGATCAGTGGGTACCAGTGCCTGTTGATGACTTGCGCCACTACGGAATCACCTTTGTGGGTAGTCAGTACATCGTCTGGGCTCTGCGCGTGCGTGTCGACGCCTCTGCGGAGTGCGACGGTTGCGTTATGGAGCGGCTCGTGACGGCGGACTGCTCTCAGCACTGAGTTGCCGCGCGGGAGCTTGCGCGCTGGATTAACGAGATCCACCGATGGGTGCACGGTCTTGAGTGCAAGGATGAGATCAAGGCTGTGCTGAGGGGAACGGGAGTGCGGACGTCAGATCTACGCTCCGTGGTTTGAGTCTGAAGGCTCTTGTACAGTGATTATGTGACGAGGCAGTAATAATCCTCTGCTTGCTGCCTTTCTTTTTTTTAAAAAAAGAAAAGAAAAAAGAAAAAGAGTGCAGCATTGCAGTGTTGGGCACGAAATATTGGGGTTTATAGGCTCCAGCTGTCACAATACCCCACGTTACGACACAGCGCCTATACTGTATAGCGTTTAACTGGATTAGATTGGTTCATTCAGGTTTATGCGGGGACACAAAACTCGTCTGTACATTGCAGCGCCTATCACCCTTTTCTAATTTGACTCATTTCTTTGCCCATTTAATTTTATTTAGTAATCGTACGGTGGCTGCCGCGACGTTGATTCCAGGACACCCTACTACATACTACAGCGCGGCAACTTCGCTTTGGGTTACTCGCAAGGCTTAAAAAGCAAGGACCACTCTAGCTTCTCCTCGGAGTGGGTGAGGAAGCTGTCTTGATGCCTATTCATTTTCTATCCTAGGGTCATGAAGCCCTTGTACCCTGGGGTGCAGAACAGGATGGACGTAAGGGATCAGACCTCAGCGATTTGTGTGTGCAACTTAATTTTCTGACTGCGTGGACGGTTGAGGCAGAAATCCCTTGTTGAGTGGATCCAAGGGCCAGGTGGAATGGATTATATATCATAGAACTGCACGGCCTGGACAAACCTAGCTCCTGCAGCACCTTCGCCCAGTATTCCATTATCATGACGCTTGTCTCCGCATCACCCATTGCGGACCCTGACGATGACAATTCAACCACCTACACGGCCGCCGCGACACCCCCAGAAAGCGACGCCGCCGGCCTCCACGATGACTACGATCCCATCTCCATCACTGCCCAACCAGCGAGCTCGCTAACACCCCGGCCCGGACGCACCTGGTTGATCAGGGCCGTGTCGTCGGGCGAAGTGGTAACACTGCACGGAGGCAGGATCATTCTCTCTCAGCCCGCCGGTCGCGCGTCGCACTGGGACTGCGTCGAGACGAACGGGTGGCTGGGGTTCCGGAATGGCGTTTCCGGAGCGTATCTGGGCCGCGATTGGTGGCTACAGTTGCGTTGCTCGACTGGCTGGCACCAGATGTGGGAGCGATTTCACGTTCGCGAGAGGCCCGAGGGCGTGGGGAGCGTTTTGCTAATGGAACATTGGGGGCTGAAGCGCGTGGGGGTGAAGGTGGAAGGTGGGGTGAATATTCTGGCTGTGATTGGGAACTGGGAAGCTGATGAGATGGTTTGGGAGTTTGTTGAGGTTTAGTGTGTGGAGGGGTGCTTGGGATGCGATGTCTTTTTGAATGGGACCGAGAGCGTTGGTTGACTTGAGTTGAATTGAACCTTTTCCTCCCGTTTCTCTGTACACCACCTGCCGCGTGCGTGTTGTGCTCAGAGTACAGAATCGACGTGACACTCTTTGTTTTGCTCTTAGTGTATACACACGTGGAATTCTCAAAGGCTCGCGAGTCGCCGGCTCTGGAACTTTGAAGATGTTTCGGATGGGTACTGTTTGTGCTCTTCAACTCCGAGCTCATGCCACCGACATGCTGGTTTATATGCTACAAACAGATCAGCGGTAAATAGAGAAAAAGCCTTTAATATGGCTACTATTGCCTGAACGTCGCGCTGCTGCCCACAATGGAAATCTTAACTCGATTGGCCTTACCACTCTGCATTGTTGCCCTTGTATATCACTCGTAGTGAACGCGCACGGAGCCTTACAGTAGACCTATCGTGAGCGGAATGAGGTCGTATCGCGAAGGGGTGACGTCATGGCAGGCGCACCCGACGAAAAGAATACCTTAACATGGTTGATCGGCGAGCTGCGCACTCTACCATCAAGCATGTCTTGCCTACCTTCAGACGTGGCGCATCCACAATACAACCTCTTGACATCTTACAATGAAGTGAGTATCAAGCTAGCCATACAAGCTCGTAAAAGAGACGCGCCTTTGAGCGAGTGACGCGCTGCAGCCCTCTACGCCGTGCCCCCAAGCACTCTCGGTAGCCGACGCGGTGGAGCGAACCCCCGGCGCGATCGCGAGGCCAACGGACGGAAGCTCAGCCAAGAAGAAGAGCTGGTGATAGTTGAACGTATAGTAGATAGATTTAATGCATTTTAATAGCTTGTTGTGGCGTCGAGATATCAGTCCGCAAAACCGTGCGGCGTTAGTAAGGTGCGCAGCTCGCTTATCAATCACGTTATTTATTGTTCGACTGGTGGAGAAACAAAAATGTTTCCGGTAGGGAAAAACAATTCGTGTAGCCTGCCACTGAGCTCTTGGAGTGAGTAAGACTGGGTTGACAAAAGATTTTTACTTTCGACGCTTGCATTGGTCGAACTCAACTGGACTATCTGGCAAATTCCGCTTTGACAAGGTGCTGCAGGATGAACCGGATTGCTGCACACTTAGTGTTACGCTTCTTTGCTGGGTGGAGAGCACCGTACTCCCCAGCAAATTCTGTATGCGTTGTGCCTGTCACGCCATTTGAGTAAGGGGCGTTCTGGATTCGAAAACTTGATTTGGCTTAGCTTAGATCTGTGTTCAGAATAACGCAAAGAATCGACGCACCTTGCTTCAACATTAGCGGAACCACGGGCAAATATATCAGATGCATGTGGTTGCATACGCTGCAATACCCACAATGTTACTCTTACCTGCAGATGTAATTATTTTTTTTTCAGTCCTTTGTAAGGAGCTGGCTGTCTCAATACCTTAGTAGTCTCTATAATGAAGAAGACTTCACTGGCAGTACTCTGTAAATTTTGTCATAGTGCGGCTGTTGGGAATGATTTAAGTAGTATTTCATGCTAGAAAGTAGATGATGCTACTCCCAATGTTCGCTATTTATTCCTATGTAGTGGCGTAAATAGCCTTTCAAATATACTCCAACCAAATTGACATAACAGTTATTAATAACATAGCCTAATGATTCCGAATATCAAAGTGGAGAAGCACAAAACTGGAGGAAAAATACGTCCGAGTGATGACATTCTTCAGTCTATCCTCGGAAAATATATACGATGGTATTTACAAAGACAAAGAACCAATGTAGGGAAAGTTGAGGAGCGATATTAGAGATGCAAGATGCACGATACATGGCAAGACAGCTCAATAACAGATAGCTAGCAGGGCTTCACTTTCCTTCGTAGTAACATATTTATCAGGAGTGGAGACGAGATCATACTGTCTTGGAAAATAGGTACTCGGAAGGTGAGGCTCACGCGTGATCATATGCTAGCTCCTATAGCCTTGTAAAATTCGCTAAATGTTGATGACACGAAATGTACCTTTTGTAATCTTGCGACTCAGGTTAACCCAAAAATACCGCCTATGATCTATTTGATATTTTGCATGAACAATTCAGACTGATGGGTTACGCTTTCCAGGGTCGTTTTAGATTGAATAAGTAGTGTCACGAAGTACACCATGATGCGAATTGCTGTGTTAGTCGCAAGTGCGATGATATTTCCAATGAATCGTACGCAGCCAAATAGAGTGGCGACACGTCATATTTGAAGTACAGGGCTTGATCGAAATTGTCGGGCTGATTAAATCAAAGAAAGCAGCATCAATGCATTTTGATTCTGTCTTTATAAGATTGAATTGGAATAGAGTCATCTACAAAGACAAAGTCATCTACAAAGACAAAGTCATCTACTATTCTTCCACATCTTTGATCTGAATCCCTCTAACTTTCTTCTCTACACACAAGAACCTCATTCGTCATGTCAACCAAGGCAGAGCCTGCACCACTGTCATCGTCAGACGATGGTAGCCGCAAGGCAGATCTCAAATGTTTTTCAAGCTCGATCGATCTTGCCCGAAAGTTCACCGCAACGGTCAAGACTCTGGCTTCGAACTCAGAATACCGCTATGTAGCTGAGCTGATAGACCAGATCCCTCCCCTCGAACAGTCAGTGCTGTCGAAAGATAGAGAGATTCAAGGCCTCAGGGAGAAGAACCGGGAGCTTGAAGAGGAAAGTGAGAAGGCAAGTAGGCGGTTAATCAGAGCTTACGAGAGAGAGTACGACCGATTCAAGGATGAGAAATCAGCTCTGGATGGCAAGATCAGTGGCTTAGAGGAATTGAGCAAAGCTCAAGAGGAGAATGTGAACCGGCTCATGGCAAGCGAGAGCGAGCTCAGGGAGAAAGGACGGCAAGTCAAGAATATGTGGGTTGCAGAAAAGGAGAAATTGTCCGAAGCAAACAAGGAGATCAAGAAAATGGAAGGAGAGGCCAACAAAGCTCTGATAGAGAACTCTCGGTTGGACAAAGAGCTCACTCAAGTTCGAACTGAACTGTCTGGTGTGAGAACATCCTTCGAACGAGCCAAGGCTAAAGTCTCGGTACTTGAACAAGAGCTCTGTTCCAAGGATAAGAGCTTGACGGCAATAGAAGGGTTGGGTGTTACTTTGAGCGAGGAATGCTACGAGAAGTCGTAAGTCATCTTCATCGTCTGAGGAAAATCCTGAGCTGAAAGTCAAGCAGAGTGGCAAACATCGAAGCTGTGTGGGAATCAGTACACAGTTTGGTGGAAGCTTACTTTCGCAAGGACCTTACCAAAGATTCTCTAGGGGTACGTAATATCAGGCTAATCGGATTCGCGCTGGCTGACTTCCGCAATCAAGGCAATAGATACCTGGACAATACTCAGGGCACCACTCGACTTCCAGCACCGGATTCCTCTGCCAGCGTCGAATTCTCCGGCAGCAAAATCGATGCGTACTACGGTGATCCTTGCAATCCTTGCCAGGCTAATCGACAAACACATCTTTCACCCAACCTTCCTACTGGAAACCGATAGTGGATTACGCGACATACTTCTCCGGCAGGCGGTGCTGCACAAATCAAGGGAGTCTTTCACTCGATCGTTGTTACTGAACATGTTTCCGGAAGAACAGCAATCTAGGTCCGAAAGAATGGTGTCGGTGGTACTCCAGGAAATGGCGCCGTACGTTCGAAATCTCCTCCCACCAGAGGAAATGACCACATTCCGAGAGAAACTCCGACCGCTGATCTGCGCTGGCCGAGATGTGTGGATGTCGATACAAAGACATAGAGAAAGGCTTGAGCCAAGCTTTGAGCTCATTCAGTTCGAAGATTTCGATTGGAAGACTATAGCACTGAAAGGAGTCAGCACCGAGCAGCCAAACCGCAATCGCACCCCAAAGGCTGGCCCCAAAGACGATGAGGCGGTGCTTATGATTTTTCCTCGTTTCTGCATCGTAGAAGATGAAGACCCATACCCCTTATCCCGCGGCATCGTAATCACTAAGAGTCAGATAGAGAAGGCCACTCAAGAAATAGAGAAACTTCCCTCTACCCCTCCGGTTCGGAAGTCTCTACCATCACGTACTCGCCGACAAAGTTCCCAAGATCCTTCCCAAAATACACTTCATCAGATGGAAACCAAGGGAGCTAGTGATTTTTTAGCGCAAAAGCACTGATAAGGAGGAAGATCAGATGGATGAGGAAAGAGGGTGTCTAAGATTGTTTTGCAATCGAGTTGGAAGCGATTGGCAAAGTAAAAGTCATATGAGAATTTAAACGACGATAATTTTTTATTGTTCTTTCATTTCGATTTTTCATCAATTTCTCTCTGGTTTCTGTTATCACAAGAATGAATAGTCTTTTAGCAGAGGATTTCGAAGCTTGAACCCGTTAAGAGATAGCTCATTTGGTCTACAGAATGAGAGACTGAGCTTGACGAGTGTTGAATCTGAGATCTATCCACAATATACAAAGCAAGGGAAAAATAACGTGCGCACTACATTGATCATTTGGTTGTCAATTTCCCAAGGAACACGTCACGGTCAAGCAACGCGCTTTCACACAATCGATACGCACCCAGAGCTGGCACGATTCACGCCGAATACGTGGTCTTGAAGAGACAGTTTTATTAGCACTTCCACTGCTAGTGGACTTGGTATTGGACCGCCGAAGTACAACATGACTGGCGTTGCTATCGTCGAAAAGCGTCGTGTAGAGAACACTACTCGGAGCGGTGCATTGCGCCTGGATCATACCAGCGACGATAACATGCGAATGCCGGAGTCGAGCTTGCAAATTTCTTGCATAAGTTCGATAGTGGTCTTGCCGGTGCTAATGACCAAGTCCACTAGCGGGACCTCGCGCTGCTCATGCAAGTGATAGGGCCTGACGCTTCCGGACCACTAGTACTGAAACATGGCCTGCGAGAACACGTCATTGATGCCGCTTGCCATAGACTCTCCAGCAAGCATAAGAGCTACGATGATGGTCTGTGGCTCCTAGTTTAATGAATTGGGTGAGGTTCACGACCGCTCGCATCGATGCGTATCGAGGGGCATGACAAAGCCAAGCAGCAAACAGGTAGAATTGCCAGCGAAATGCGAATCCAGCGAACATGTACGTGTATACACCGACGCATTGCGGACAGTGGCAAATGGTGTCAGCTCCGCACCGGAAACTTGGCGTGCAGGGTGCGACTAGTCGAAAATAGGACGTCTATTATCTCGTTGAGTGTCTACAAGGCCGTTGCTGCAGCGCGGCGTTCCCGAAGTTCCATCCGCAGTCAGTCCGATGCAAGGGTGGCGGTGATTGATAGGGTAGGCTCAGCATCTCATGTCATTGGTGTAAAAGCCTGCAACATACAGGCCACGTCTCGTTGAGTCTATGGGTATCTCTGATAGGCCGACAGGAGTGGCAGAGTTACGTACGCTTATGCGCATGGTGGACTCTGGTTTCTTAGGGTAAATGAAAGGAAAGACGACTGGAAGGAAGGACGAGAGGCATGTATCGTGTGTCTAAGGTGAACGGTTGAGGGGCGGTAGGGCTTGGTTAGGGCTTGGTTAGGACTCTAGTACGCTAATCCCTTTATGGGTGGTTCTGTTTTGTTCAATTCACAACGTCTCACTTCGGGCTAGCGCTTACGTTGGCAAAATGCGGACGATGATCGGCATTATCGGGCGTTTGAGCCATTCTCTGCAGCGAATCCCTCTTGTCGCACGCACGATTCTCTTGAACCTGAAAATGTGCTGCGCAGATTTCAGGACGCAGGCGAGTAGCTAATAGCGTTTGACCATGTGGCAACTGCGCTGTGTCTTCATGCCTGCCACTACACCTGAAGGTAGAGATGATAGTATTTGTGTCGCGGCTCAAGGCCAGGACGTAGTATAAGGTAATAGAGATACAGTCAAATTGTGAACCTCAGACCACCAAATCCGTCAATTCTCAGAGTCATGGCGGCTGAACATTTGCGAACAAAGATTGGGTACGAATTTGTGGATGGTGAGCTGCTTACTTGCGCTCTCACAGCAGCCCATAGACACTACGATGATCCATCTTTCGATGGAAACAGGGGTCTGGCCAGCTTGGGGGTAGGTGTGATGGAGATGGTGCATACGCTTTATACTGTAGTCGTGGACAGCGGTACTCAAAGTAAGTCTCACTGTGCGCTTCTCAATCAGCAGGTTTCTCATAGAAAGGCAGAGGACGTGAACAAAGGTGAACGATGGTACAGAAGCAAGAAAGGACAAGCCAGAGCCTGCGTAAATCTGGGGATTGACAATTTCGTAAACTGCAGCATTCGACAGCAGAACGCTCGAGACTCTCCCACGGTGCTATCCAACGCTTTGGCCGCCATCATTGGTGCAATCTGGCTCGACCTCGGCGGAGTTAATGAGAGTTCTTCGAATGCTTGCGAGCGGATCTTTCTTATTATGTGTCAGATAGACGACGAGGTCAAGGGAACAACGCCAATGACTAATGGGGAGAGTACCGCGGCAGCAGAGGGGGATTCTGGCATAATGTCGAGTTCCGCCACGCGAAATCGAGGTTCGGATCCATTGAACGCTCAGATAACTCGTACTCCTAGTGAGAGTCAGCGCGAGTCGCTTTCCTCTTCGTTCCCTTTCTTGTTCCCTCCTCACAACATGGAATCCGAACTCGATACTCCCGGGCCAGTTGAGTCTAATAGTATGCCATGTCCGCCAAATAATGGGAACACCACTAACATTATAGAAGCCTATGCACATAATACAAACACTCTGAACATTGGGCAATGTACGCACGCAGAGATCCCAGGCGGACTTGGGCTACCTGTGCTCCACGGGGTGGTTGCACAACCGGAACAGAGATTCCAGGTTGACGGAAGAACAACTGGTTCCCACCATATGCCAATGGATACGTCTGAGACTCAAGCGACTACGGCAGAAACTGGGAATAAGAAGAACTCGCGGGCGCGGCGTGGTAGACCGCCTAACAGCTCCCTTCACCAGAGGCTGATTGAGGAAGAGTTGAAGAAACTGAACGGCTTCTCGGGCTCGAGTAGGGGCGATCTGCAAGCCCTTCTGGATCACCCACAAATTCTCGAGTTGAGCACGAACTCTTCGTGCGTAGGACAGCTGCGCCTGCTCTATCTGGGCATTGGCAGTTGTCAATCCCTCATCCAGTTCAAAGAAAGCCTTCGAGTTGCCAGGACTAGATCGAATACATCCGTCCACGCCATTGGGCCCAACCTGCTTCCCAAGGAAAGATTTAGAGAAATCTGTCTCTATGATGACCAGGAAGCTCTGTCTGTACTGGCGAGGCGTTACCACGTGGCCAAGCTGTTCGAAACAGAGCTAGAAAATCTGCGGCAGGACAACGCAATAATCGTAGAAACCGCGGCGGATTTTGGAACAAACCACACACCCCAGGCGGGAAATCCTGCTATGATACAAGAGGCTGCGCTTACGGACAGGTTGCTGGAAAAGGTCGCGCCGGATGTGATGACGGGGACCACAGAGTTCAAAAGGGTCCGCGATAGGCTATCACAAATGCGGAGACTTGCGAAGAGGTTGCAACTATTGATCAAAACGTACGGTTTCGGCATCCTTGCATTGCTCCCATGCGGCCCATCGTACTCGGACTTTACGATCACCGATTGCACGTCAGTATCTGACTCTACCTTTTGAGAAGAGAACAGCTAACATGTATAGGCTAATCTCAATCCCCGAGGCCGTGTTTGCACAGTTTTCGGAGCTGTTGTATCAACATCAGGGAATGGTTCTTGCCGAGCTCAGCAAAGCTGTTGAGCCAGCTCTTACGGCACTCGCGGACGGGACGCTGGAATCTGAGACGCTGTTTCCTATCGAATTTGCGGGAGTCAGAGACTTCGAGGTGTTACCAATGGGTTCACAGGAGGTTTTGTCTATTTGCGTATGCGGGGCCCTGGCGAGCCTGTGAGACAGGTAGTTTGTGTGAGCGAGCCAAAAGGGAGTGCAGTCGCCTCGCACGCTCTTTGAGTCAAGTTCGGTAGTATATTGTTCCCAAAGTTCTCCAAATCTTTCGATAATTCTCTCGGTTAGGTGATATTACTCAACTGAAGCTATTTGTGGGACCCTGCGTAGAGCATGACTAATTTGCGCGGTAGTCTCGTAAGTTGTTCTTACTGCAATATGGTGCCATTCCACTAAATCATCTACGATATATGCTCCAGGACTATCACCAAACTACTCCTTCTATATAGCGCGTAAGACCGCTTAATGCTGCGGCCGGAAAGGGATAATTGCCAAATAAAAGGGGGCGCGGCCTGACAGCGGCGTTCGAAAGGACACCAACCTATCGTACTAATCGAAACAGTAGAGAGAGTAACAGGAAACATATAATTGCAATTTGAGTTTAAAAGTGTTACTGAAGACAGAAGAGCAAGATCATCAACAGAGTTTTCCTGCGTGAATCGCACAAAGTGTTGCAAATGCAGTACAGCTTTTGTGAGCTGTCTTTCTGTTCAATTTTTTTACGCTGACATTGAATTTGTGGTCCATGAAATGCAGATTAAGGAGTGGTGATATTATGGAGCACCCCTGTATTCTAGACAGAATACCCTTTCTCTATCGCCCTTACTATGGAAAGAAAGCACTCCTCTAGGGTAAAGTTTGCCACGAATGACTTTTAGACAGAAGCAGGTATCGCTACCTTCACCACCACTACTGGGAAACAAGGTTTGCTGGAGTTGCACGAAGTTCAATTAACAGGGCCGTGATGCGCTGTGTAGCAGTGGAAATGTGAAAGCGCACAATTATGGGAGCAAGGTGTCCTTGAGCGTGTGAGGACGCACAAGGAGAGGGTAAAAAAATATCATCGAAAGGCTCCACACTAGGTGTTGAAGGGGAGCAAATACAAACGGTTGCATCAGGTCGGTCCAGTGATGGTGAAGACCGTACGGCTTGCCATTCTTGATTTCAGGGCATCGATGCAGCTAAGCCCAACTGAATGACCTGCAGTGCCGTCGTACCATACACCAGCGGAGCTTAAAACCTGCACGAATCGTTGCTATTAGGCTATTCTACCAACGCTGCGTTTGTTTTGCTGTATATTTGAAGATAAAGGCAAAGTTCGTCCACATATTTTCTTCGGTGATCCTGATAGCGACCCTTTTTTGTCCACCGCAAACATGAACGGCCATAGCGGCCAGGAAAAAGGCCACGAAGTCCACACCGAGATCGATGTCGATGAGCTCAACGAGGATGGCTCCACGAAAACTCTGCTGGCCTCGAACCGTGCTCAAATCCCATCCACCCAACAGCTAGCTATCGATTTCGATGGCTTGAGCTGGCCTAGTAAGTAGCATGTTTGCATGGAGGCAGCATGGCTAACAAATAATAGGCAAGGGTACGCGGAAGAGGAAGGAAGCGACCGATCAGGAGAAGGAAGAGCAGTTGGCGAAGCTTTTAGGGGCCGTGAGGACAATCTTAGAGTGCATTGGCGAAGACCCCAACCGCGATGGCCTTCTGGATACCCCAAATCGCTATGCGAAAGCATTACTCTTCTTTACGAAAGGCTACGAAGAGAGCCTACGGGAAATCGTGAACGGCGCGATATTCCACGAAAACCACGACGAGCTCGTAATCGTAAAGGATATCGAAATCTCTTCCCTTTGCGAGCATCACTTGGTGCCCTTCACTGGAAAAGTATACTAATGATAACCCTTTCTTACGCTGTTGGCTTAACTCCGGGCAGATACATGTTGGCTACATACCCAACCACCGAGTGATCGGGCTTTCCAAGCTCGCCAGAATCGCCGAGATGTTCTCTCGCCGGCTCCAGGTGCAGGAGCGGCTCACGAAACAAGTAGCCGTCGCCCTTTTCGAGGTTCTTCAGCCGCAAGGCGTCGCCGTCATTGTAGAGTCCAGCCATCTTTGTATGGTGATGCGTGGAGTTCAGAAGACTTCCGCAACCACTATCACCAGCTGCATGCTCGGCTGCATGCGGTCGAGGGCCAACACCCGAGAAGAGTTTTTAAGTCTCATCAATCGGAAATAGAGCATTGTAAGGGTACTAGGCGGCTTGCTGTAGCAAATTCGGTCTCTTGTACTATCATGCGGTGGTCTACGAGCTTGGTTATTGCTACAAATAGCTTTGATGGCGGTGCTCATCTACGCGGTCGAGGCGGTCGAGGTCGTTTCCTTGCATTTATTCAGCAGGTGATGTGTAATATCAGGAGATACCCTTGGTGTGACGAAAATTTGAGTCTCTCGTGTGAAGCTTGTAACTCGTCCGAATGGCGATGCCACATATTCACACCGCACGCCTCCCGATCTACCTTTTGCTGCACTGCTGTTACTTTTCATACGCTGCATCTGTAAGTGGCAAAATATTCGCACTTGCCGCTCAGCAGGTCGTACACGACATTGAATATCCCTGACGCATTGTGCAGCCTTCTGGCCTTCTTTCGCCTCGAAATCCATGCAAGTATGGCTGCCTTGATCGACGTTAAATCTGCAACAGCTGGACTCGGCAGCTCGCTACATTTCTATAAGAAAGTCTCTTGCTCAAAGAGTGCCAATTGGACCGATCGTAGTGTTTATGCGGTGGCTTTGTATCGTATTTGGTAGATCTATTCGCACATAGCTTCGGTTATACGGTAATGCTTGAGGGCTTGCGTTTCCTGACAACTACCCAGGATCCCACGTGTGCTTAGTAAGTCATCGCCGGGCAGACATCAGGCATTGCTCGATCGTTGGCAGTTCTGAATTGGCACACGAGATGATCATTCCAGGATAAGGGCAAGGCTCCACAAAGACGGATTCTAGTACCATCAGTAGCTTCTTCACCATTCCGTCTAACCTTTCAGTAGTTCATTGATCTTGGGCTAGCTTTTGGCGCTCACCCCTCGATCCTAGTCATGATGGTAAAATTGATCGAAATAGAAGCGTGAAGACACACGGAGCTATAGAAGCTTGCTTTGAAGTTGCAAATCAAAGCTGCGCCAAAAGATAAAGGCAGGTAAAAATTCTGGTTTGCCCACATGACACACATCACAAGCTATACCTCTCACAAACCTAAGATCCCAAGATCTTTTCCTTTTCTAAGAACTTCCAAAAACCAAAAGGCTTTGAATACTGATTCCTCCAAAGCCACGTCGGCACAGCAGTTCCCGGCCACGGTGAATCGGAAACTCAGCCACGGTCATGACGCTGACATCCTTAATGTTGACCCCGGCTTCAACTAATAGTTGAAGCACCGCGCAAAGTGTCTCTCCCGTGGAAAGCACATCGTCTACGACCAACACTGGCGCGCTCCTAGGGACCACATCCCGCTCGATCTCGATCCGCTTCTCTTTCAAACTGCAGGATGCCAAGGACGAGATATGTGAGTGAGGCTTGGTGACGGAAACGGTGGGCGAGGGGAGCTTGCCGGCTTCGCGAACTAGCACTAAGGGTACATCGACTCGCAGTGCCAAAGCAGAAGCAAAGACAAAACCGCCGGCTTCGCAAGACACCACCGCACCAACTTTAGCCCAGTCACCGGCGAAGTGGGTTCGCATCAGAGACGAGCAAAGGGCTAGTCCACCTGACTGCTGGGAGATGCCGAGCACGTGGCGAAACTCGACGCCCGGACGTGGGAAGTCGGGTACTGCACGCACCATATCGGCCAGCCGCTGTAGGTCCTCATGAAAGAAGGGAAGTAGATAATGTTCGGCAAAACTCTTCGCAGCTTCGTTTCCGATCGTGTCATTGTCGAAGATGAGAGTGGGGCGATGTCCTAAGGCCGTCAAACTTAATTCGCTATTATTGCCGTCCTTGTTGTTATCATCGTCGTCACAGCCGTGGCACCCTCGGCGAATCCGCCGCGTCTGATCACTAGCCTGGACGTAAACTTCGAGCAGTCTGCTGCCTGGAACCAAATGCGAGAGGGTTGCGACCGGCGCTTTGTCTCTCATTCCGGTGATTAACAGCACGTCGATATCTGCGGCACCGTGCACCACATCCAGAAAATGCTCCTCTAGCAGCCGAGGTCGTTGGCGCATCTGCTTCTGGAAAAAGGCCGTCAATGCTGGCCGGTGTTGCTCCTTGTAGGCGCGATCCGAAAGCAAGCGGCTCAGGTCGGCGCCAGCAGCCGCAGCGTATTCTCTTTTGATCGCATCGCTAATGCTGACCAAACGCGCAGTGATGCTTTTCTGGATGCATCTGGTAAACATGGAGACCCAGACGTCGGCACAGTAGTCCTTGCCGGCGCAACTTTCGCCTGTGACAAGAATGACCAGCTTCCGTTCCGTCGGCGCTTTCGGGAGCGGACAGGCGTAAGCCAGCACACCATGCGGGTCCATGCTGTGTTTGAGGCGGGCTAGGTGCGGTCTGTTTGGTCCAAACGCCTTAGCTGCAAGCGCGACATCTCTGGGGTCCGGCCCAAGGTCAGCGCCGTAAGCTCCGCTGCTGAAGGGCAACAAACCCTCGGCAACGCTGTAAACCCAGCACACGACGGATCGTGCGGCTTCGGTGCCATCTTCGCCGCGGAGCCAGACACCAGTTATGACGCAGGCAAAGTTCCAGTCTCGACAGCCGAAAGCAGTAGCGTCGGCCGCAACGTCCTCGATTGCTCCGCCACCTTGCAGCAGATGGAGATAACAGAGTGGTGAAGGACGAGTCTCAATGGCGGCAACTAAGCGGCCGGCGATGTTTGATTCTCCGATGCGTTTCAAGAATAAGCATCGCTTGAACGAGGAGGTCTTACCGCCACCGTGCCCACCGTGCATCCCGGACACGTACATCTCGGTCTCAAACAGACCGACGCCGTTCACGGCCTTGAAATCACTCCCCGGCCCCCAAGTTGCACCTAAGAGCGTCGGTGTGGGTTGAGTAAAGGTAGACCCAGTCGTAGAAGATTCGAGCGTGGTCATGCCAAGGTGTAGCTTGTCAGCGTCCCAGTACAGGTATGCGTCTGCAGAACAATTCGGGGGAAGCTTCCTGGCGACGAGTGTATCAAATTCGCTGAGCCCGAGCCGCGCTTCGAGGCTGTCGCTCAGCGGGACAACCCAGTTTCGAGTCAAGTAGGTCGGAGCCGCGTAAGCCTGGAAAGTCACACTGACAACGATGCCGAAGTTGGTCCCGGCGCCCTTTATCGCCCATAACACATCGGCTTCGTTTTCCGGTCGAATAGCGCTGGCCGGCTGGTATTGGCTTGGTACATTGCCGACGCAGAGGACTTGGCTGGTGTCGACGCTGACCAGAACGGCACCGACAATGGCGTCGCACGCGAGACCGTGTAGCCTGGCCAAGTGCCCGATACCGCCTTGTAACCACAACCCCGCACCTACGCTTGGGCGAGCCCCCAGGGGTACTGTCACGCCCGCCGTCATGGCCTCGCGGACGATACTCCCGGTCTTGCAGCCGGCCTCGGCGACGACTAAGGAACCGGAATTTCCCCCATCCTCCCCCATGAGAATGTGTACTTGGTCAAAGGCGCCCATGTCTACTGCGACAACATGAGGCCAGATACAGTGGCCACTGTGGCCCCCGCTGATGATGGTCAGGCCGACACCGTGCTTCAGAGCCCATCGAACGCACTGCTGGATGTGTCGGACCTCTGTCGGCGCAACAACCGAGGCGGGGATATGGAGCTGAGCCTCACTGTTTTTAACTACCTTGCCCCTTTTCACCAACGGCACCTGCGCCGCCAGCTCCGGCAATGTGGTAGCATGTCGGGTAAAGGCCGCCATGACGTCGGGCGAGCTGAACAAGAGATGGTTTGGGTGGGCTTCCTCGCGACGGCCCAAGGAACGGCACACCTTACGCCACTCCACTCGGATGGCCTTGTCCACATCCACATCCTGCATGACAAACCCCGCGATGAAAGGAGCAAAATGGTCCAGTACCTCGTCGTCATTTGCTACGCGAACCACTCCAGTAGGGAAAGAAGCCGTTCGATGGCACACCAAGCCGTCGAGATGCAGGGCCCCGTCGCGATGGAACACCACCACCATTCCGCCTTGTGGCTGTTCAACAAGCATTCCCAGCGCCTGTCCGATGAACTTGTTTTTGGGATTCATGCCATACATGCTGTGGCAGAATAGGATGATGTCGAATTTTTCCTCGGCACTGCACCCTACATTGTCCTCTAGAGCGAATGGAGTCCGACGGATGTCTGCCGGACTTTCCAGACAGGGTAGCGGTGACTCCGTCTCGGAGGTAGAGCAAAGCCATTCCCCCAAACTTGTAGCAAAAAAACCGTTAGGTTCGAACGCAGTATATCTCCTGATCTTCCGTCTCAGACGGCCGGGAAGATATCCAAGCACGCTCTTCGGGCCAGGCCCGATTTCCAGTGCTGAGATATGGCTGCGCGAGTCGAAGAGAGGGGCTAGTAGCTGAGACAGTTGAGGGATGATGAATTCTTGGTACGTCATCCATCCTGAGTCCCGTACCAAGATATCGAATCCGGCGCTGTACTGTGTTTCGGATAACGGCTGCTCCGGGGATGACGCCGTGGCCTTAGCTGCTTGCCTAAGAGCCCGCTTTAGAGAGTCCAGGGTGGCCATTTAATCCAGCATGGGTGTGTGGGGATCTCGCACTAGTGATGGCGACAATGGTTTATGTGAGCCTTGTTGAGGTCTGCAGCCGCACAGTAAAGCGGGTTGAAGATGAAGAAGTAGCGGAAAGAAGGGTCGTTGACTGCGAGTGGTTAAACAATGCGGAAATATCAAGAAACTTATCTGAATAGAAAATAAAATATGCATCAATTTATAACTAGTATCCATTGCAGTGGACAGCCAATAGTAGTCGGGACTGGATCACTCCACATATCTGATAAATGTTGCATACACTCCGCAGCTATCAATAGGCTAGGGAATCTGTGCGACGGCCGTACTAAGCCGTGGAATATCCAAGCGCTTTGTTGATGTTGAGTCACTCCTCGCTCCTGGACGTTTTGGATGACTATATTGGCTTATCGCAAATTATGCCCAAGCCCGCCCCATGATGGCCTGCACGAGGGGGGGCACAAGCGAAGCGACACCTACGGGGGATCGCCATGTCTGTGATGGGGAGTAGCAGCGTAGCACGAAAGAGCGAAGCAGGGTAGTGACGTTCTCTTGGCAATTTTCCGGGGTTTTGAGATGCCCCGCAAACATCACGCTACTCGTCATCCCAATTCTTCACATCAGTTGCCTTCTAGCTCTCACTCTCACCCTCTACTATAGTTCATTTCTAAAAACTTTCGCCGTTGTGATATGATTCGCAGTTGCATATTGCTAAGTATGTGGTTATTGATTTTCTGGTGAACATTGAGTCTAGGGAGGTAGAGTAGGAAGGAGGACTAGGTTCTAAGCCCGCTAAGAGTATCTACAGGAGGCAAAATTGAATGTACAATTTGAGATTTTCTCTTTCGTTAGTACATTTAGGTCACATTCCTCTACTATAGAGAACGTCGAGAACGTCGAAATATTCATCTCTAGTAGAAAGCCACAACGTCATCCCGCACACCCCATTATCTCCGCAAGAGCGGCTGCCGATCCGCCATCGGACCGCTTGCCACTAAGTCCTCGCTTTGTGTCCGATGGTACGCATAAGTAGTGGTGGACCTCAGCCATGCGAACCTCAATATGGGAATCAACCTGCGAAGCTAATGATGGATCTTTGTTTTTTCGTCTGCCGAAGGAGTGGCTTTAGATGTCGACATTTACACTATAAACTAGGCAGGCAGAAAGACCAAATAAATGGAGCATTAGAGCATTTATTAACAAATGATTGGATTCGTGCTTCATAAAGTGTTATTGGTGTTTATCGGTTTAAGACGCCAAACATAGCTTCCTCCTGCATCACAGGAGCTGGGTTTTATAGTCACGTGATTAATTGCAGCCATGACTTTTGCCTCTCTCGTGGCTGCGCTGTATGACTTATAAGCCTTTGTTGATCTGAAATCCATCGAAAAAGATGCTACTTCTTCAACGAATGTAAGCCGAGTCTTTTGTTGGTCGAATCTACTGTACGCGTACAGCGCAGTTCTAACGTCTATGAACGCAGTCACACTCTCTAGAAAAAACTACTCTGCAGTGAGAAAGATCTAGAACCACGCATCAATCTAGCAAAGGCCTATAGGTCTAGTACGGCTGATCCTCTTCTGCCGCTTTGTTATTAGTTCTGCTGCTGTAACCACCGTCTAAACCATGCTTTTATCGACTGTACTCTGTGTTCTCTGCGGTCACCATCATCATTGCGCTACATACACACTTTTCCATTTACCAGTAGGCTCTTGGTTTAGACATGTAAGTGTTCAGAGTGTAGCCAATGCGGAGGCTAGCACGAGAAGGTTTCAAGCGTTGTCTTGCGATGAGTCTGCTGTGGTCTTCTTTGAAATGCCTACGCGATCGACTCTTTACATCCCAATTGCCAAAAATACATGGCTCCATTCCAACCACAGTAGATCTATAGTGGGAACAGCAAAAACGAAGGCAGATGCCCCAGAAACCGCTGTCCAATGAAGCTGATTCTCGTCACCACTTTACATATGGGCATTTAGATTGACGATGTACTAGTTGAAAACCTCAAGGCTGACCAAAATATGTCAAAAATAATTATGTCATTTATGGTTCAGTAGCTATACTAGGACCATCCGTAGATCAGAGTTTAGATCAACCAGATCAGGCTCAGCAAAGGGCGAACGCCATTAATACTGTGCACCGACGTGGTAGCTGAGGGTCAGCCCTCCGAAATGACCATCTTGGTGGCTCAATCTTTTTCGAGAAAAGATCAAGCTATTGTTCAAAACATCTGTCTAAGCCACGATAGCTAACGCTAGGTTAGACTCAGAGACTCTGTGTTAGACATTGTCATTTTTAGCAAATGCTTTGATTTATCATGTTATCAAACTCAGTAACAGGAGCATATCAACTTTCTTGCACTCGTAGTTGATAAGAAATGAGCTCAATCATCTCCCTTATTTGTATTGGATAAGTATGGTAGCTTAATCACTCATCTGAGATGACATTGGATTCAATACTAAGTAGGTTGAAACAACAATCAATACACTCATTCATTAATTATTCAATCGAACAAACCCACACAACTAGGCCTGAAACTTTCTCAGATTTATGCGACCAGGATGGGTCGAGCCTTGGGGAACAAATAATTGGTAAGTGTATTTATCGCACGCATACTCGGCTTCTAAATACACCGAGTTATCCAGCTCACTGAATGAAGTCTTTTATCGGAAGCTTGGGTGCGCTCAGCCTACCTGCAAACTTACCTCCGACCCATGTGTCACAAGTATGTGGTCCTGTGCCGCGTACTTCACAAATGACCCGGATCTCGCGCTGCCGAGCTAGACACTTGGAGAAATCAAGATGATATTTGGCAAAAAGAAGGCAAAACAAGAGATATCCAGGGGAGTGCTTATGCGGCTTCAAGTGTTGTTAGCCAGGAGGCAGGAAGAATTCAGGATTGCGTCGGAGTGCTCTATGACTTCTTTAGAGGTTTAAGCATTCGAGGTAAGAATTTATAGTGTCTATCTTCAACTTTTTTTTTTTTTTGGCTCGATACTATTAGTCCGGTGTATGGTCAATGAAGCTGCTTCTGTCATTCATTTGATATCAGAATAACACGGCCATTAGCCAACACTATATTCACTGCGGCGCCGTACTTTCTATGGTTTGGCATTGAGCCACTGTTATTTTCAATTCAACTTCCATCAATTACTGAGCCCGTTGATATTTTGCAAGAGTCGAAGCTTTGCATTGCTAGCTGCAGCAGAAATCAATTACCAGCGGTAACGCTTTACTAAAACCTTCACTAACAACAAAACACAGCTTTAAATTACGCTGCGAAGACATCATGTATCCCTTGATGAGCGATCAAAACTCAAGCTAAGCAAATATTCGAAAAGCTCCGGTGAACCTTTGGGGAGGCCCTCTAGAACACCTACGTCAGCCATTTCAATGGGAAATAGGGTTGCAGAAGCTAGATTCCCGTCCAAAAAAGCCGTGAGGGCAGGTTCAACAGTTTTGCTGAGCTCCTTAAGAACCGAGCCCTGCTGTTGATACACCAGATTCGAAAATCTTCTGAACCTTTGCTCAGTAATAGATACTAGCCTATATGGGTTCAGCCCTTTTCTCTCAAAGAAGTTGAGTTCTAATACTCACATGTAATCAGAGATAGTAAGTTCCGAATACGATGGCCCACATGGAAGTAGCGCAAGGACCCCAAATCCGTACGTCTCGATCAATACTCGCAGTACCTTTGCCAGTCTCCGCAATTGAGAAAGCTTTCCACGGACTCTGCGAAACTCGGATGATCCTCTCTTCAGATCCGGCCTGATCTTGTATAACAGGCCCTCTGTCAATGCGGCCTCCTGCATCACGGCAGGATTTCCCGCCTGAGCCCTGTGTCCCATCCCAAACGTCGACAAAGTTTCCACTATCATCTCATTATCCTGACGAAGGTCTTCTAGCTCTGTCTCGAATAGTTTGACAACGTGATAACGCCTCGCGAGCACACATAGAGATTCTTGGCTGTCCAGACGACAAATTTCTTTGAGTCTTTCCGTGGGACACAAATTGGATCCAAGGCTGTGGATAGGGGCACTCGGTATATTTCTGGCAGTCCGAAGGTTGGCTTTGAACTCAATGAGCGATTGGCAGCTACCCATGGCCAAATACAACAGACGTAGCTGTCCCACCTGCGAGAGCTCCGGGCTTAAGTCGTCGATCCTAGAATCGTCCAAGAGGGCTTCCAGGTCGCTACGAATAGAGTTTGGGAATCTGTGCAATTTCTCCAGCTCTTCGTGAAGAAGGCTATAGTGCAGGGAGCTGTTACAAGGTCTCCCACGATGATTCTGTGAGTTCTTTCTCTTTCCAGGTATTACTGCTCTGTGTGGATTCGTAGATGTGCTTGAAGACCCTTGCTGAGCATCAGTCACCCCTGTACTGCTAACCTGAATTTCCTGTTCCGAGATCTCGACCAAGCTATGAAGGTTAGCCAATGCGGTGTGGCCCCGAATGTCTCCGATAGTGTTTGGATTGAAGTTGGGAATGCCTGTATCCTGCACATGAGCTTTAAGAAGGTCAGTGACGGTCAAAGGCTCCTGATACATACAACTTACACTGAACTTCGCCAACCAAGGCAAGATCGAGTTCTGTTTGCATTTCTTGGAATGAAAGAAAGTCTGGAGCGATATTTGGGAGCATATCATGCTGAATTTCGTCGGCCCACTGGATGTTCAAAAAATCCAAAGAAGTAGTTGGATCCCAACTTTGGTTCTCTGCAGTGAGGCTCGGCACCCCGTCGGGTATGCTGGATTGGGTATCGTTGTGTCTTGCTGAGGCTGCAGAGATTCTCTCATCAGCCGTTGACAGGCAATTCCCGGTCAAGTCCGCGACAAGGTTGTCTATTCTGCGCAAAATCTTGAGAACCTGTCCACGAGCATTCGAAGCACTCTCGTTTCGTTTCTCCAGATCGAGCCAGGCGGCTCCAATGATGGCACACAATGTATTTGACAGAACCGTCGAGGAAGGGTTTTCGTGTTGTTGCCGAACGCTTGGGACAATGTACTTGTCTATTCCCAATGTCTCACACACCTTCGCACGTTCTCGTTTGCTGTTAGACCAATGGTTCCGGGTGCCTATGTCCTCTATCAAGCTGAGAAGTCTATCAATCAATATGTAAGTAGTGGGACCTACTCTTGGTACCGTTCTCCACGATGATGGTGTTGTGGGTCTCCACCATATCCATAACACACAACCCAACTCTAGCTAGGCCTCTGTTGCCGTCATGAGAAACAGTGTCTTCGTCGCTTCTGTGCGCTGCTTGGAGAGCGGAATGAAGGAGCTCAACGTTCACGAATTCAAAATCGACCTTTACTTGCACACTTTCTGATGCAATGACCCTGACAACTCACAAAATTGGTCGTGTAGTATTAGGAGGTTAGCATCATTTCGATTCCACCTTATAATAGCCCTAGACTTCCTGTGACACAATGAGGATCCATGCCGTGGCTGGCAATGGCTGAAATGAAAATTTAGCAGTTGCCACACGGCAAAGCGCTATTGGTCGCCATTCCCTGCCACTAGAACTGAGCACCACAGTTTGAAGCAGGACTTGCAGGTTTACTGCAATGGATTTATAGAGGTGCGAAAAATAGAGTGATTATCAGAGCAATGCCGAAACGTACCAAGCGTTGCATCGAGGTAACTCACTGCCTGTATTGCTGATTGTGGGACCTCGTAGGGCCAAATGACGAAAAGGTGCGAAATAAGTTTCCCTTTTTATGATTTTTCCTGTGAATTAAATATGACTGTGAAGATGTGGAAAGCTTTAAGTGGACAGTTTGCTTTCTTCCACGCAATACGCATAAAGCAGGTCAGATTTGATGCGAACAGCCTGCTCTGCTCATCCACAAGCCCTTCTCTCGCGCTCCAGCAGTGCACGTTGATTAGCTCATTATTACAACTACAGCGCTTGTGCTTTTCTGATTGGCATGCGGCGACGTCAGTGCTAACCTGAAATGTGATGTTGCGATTTGTGTCGAACACAACCCTTCGAAAAAGGAATAGCGCATGGGTGCCAAGACTAAGTAAATTCTATGTTACATCAATTTCGTTTCTTCCTGCATTCCTCTCGATCTCCGTCTAACTGTTCCCATCTCACGCACCTTCAGCAATCTTGAGCCTGGACTTCACGCAAGCGTACATATAGTCGCCATCCAATCAGGATATCTGTCCAAACAAGATGCGACCGGTCACGTACAGGTTTCTCTATCGATGGCATGAGATGCTAGGCCTCCCGCGACAATCACCACCAAAGTGGTATCGAGACCGACTTCGGGAGGAGCTGCGAGAACGCCACAATGCAACCACGCGCTGGCAGAGGCTTAGCGAGACATCGGACGTCTTCTTCTCGATCAGTCGAGCTCAGCATGACGGGTTTCCAGTGAGAAGGTTGCCGCCTCTTTCTTCCCCACACCACGCGGCCATATACGGTTACATGCTGGCAAAGTACACAATAAGGTGGCAATTCTACCGAGTGGCTGCATTGCTCTGCCATGTCCCTCATTACGCCTCGGTACGCGAGGTCGTGAACCCCAGCAAAGATCGTAAGCTTGAAGAGGTTGCGTCTCGCCACCAGATTGACCCAGTTACATTCAAGCGCGTCGGCGGCAAGCTGCGACACTTTTGGCCTCTTTTGCCATAGGTATCGCTTTTGAAAACTGTCAGACCCAGCTACGGGGCTATTTAGGTCATACAACAGACCAGAGCCTTACGTTATGGGCGGCGATAGGTGAATGACTACTCACTTGAAGGATCGGATGCATAAGGACGTAAGTACGATCCAGTTAGGAGATCGTTATTTGAAGGCAAAAAGGTCGTGTTAATCGTTCTATAGTACTAAAACATACTATTAGCCCAGCCAGTTGAGAATTATATAAGTACGAGCTATTTACCAATTTTGCTCGTCATCTTCATCAACTTCCACGATATTTCATCCATAACCCTTCGCGAGGACACAGGTGGCACCCTTATCATGCCTCATCAAGCCAAAAACGAAGCGGGCACCCAGCTCAGCCTGACAGCGGACCACTGCTCGAACCAACCGCCTAGCCTCGACCAAAGCCATTCTGCCGGCAGAAAGGCAAAAGTCATTGGCATTTACGGAATTCCTGGATCTGGGAAGACGCTCCTGCTGAACCAGCTGAAGCAGGAAATGAGCGATGAGAACCTCTCATTTTTTGAAGGGTCTGAGGTCATCGCGTCATTTGTTCCGGGCGGTCTGGAAGCTTTTCAGAAATTGGACGAAGAACACAAAACACATTTTCGGCAGCTTGCTGCTGAGAGTATCAGGAAAGAATGCACCATCAGTGGGAAGTCTGCAGTCGTCACGGGACACCTCATGTTCTGGCCAGAAGAAGAAGAGAGCGGACAGATGGTCTACACCTCGAACGACTTGGCCGTGTTCACACACATACTCTATTTGAACGTCCCTGCCGCGGTCATTGAACAACGCCATCGAGACGATACGAAACGCTCTCGTCCATCTGCAACGACAGCCCATCTGTCCAAATGGCAGGAGACGGAAAAGGATCAACTACGCCTGCTCTGTCGCGACCACGGCATTCTGTTCTCGGTTGTCACCCCTGGTCCGTCTTTGCTAGCTAAAGTTTCCGTCCTGCTACGAGATTTCTATGTCCACACTGAAACGTACAACCTATCTTGCGCTGAGAGCAGGTTGGACGAGATTCTTGCTCCTCACCGAGACCGATGGGAGACGATCTTGGTCATAGACGCCGATCGGACATTGGCAGTGGATGATACTGGTGCATTGTTCTGGACCCAATTTCACGCGCCTCAGCAGTGGACTGACGAAGGCTCTCCGCTAAAATCGCTTTTTAGCAGCCCACTGCGCTACTCATACGATGCCTTCCGACAGGCCACGTTGCTGTACGAAGAAGCCGCCGATGACGAAGAGTATGAAAGTCTCTGCTCAGATGTAGCGGCAGAGGTCACCATGTACCCAGAGTTCGTGTCTCTCTTGCAGCAGGCAGCACAGCAAGAGCATATCGGTGTCGTAGGTGTCAGTTGTGGGCTTCGTCGTGTATGGGATAAAGTACTGGAAAGAGAAGGACTATCAAGAACAGTCAAGATTGTTGCTGGAGGGCGGATAGCGGACGGACTTGTGGTCACCGCAGCAGTCAAAGCTGCTCTAGTTTCCCGCTTGCAGGACCGCTACCAGATGTATGTTTGGGCGTTTGGAGACAGCCCCCTGGACTTGGAAATGTTGAAGAAAGCAGATCAGGCGGTCATTGTGGTAGGCGACGACAGTGCCAGGAGCAAGAGCATGGACGATGTGTTATCCGTTGCCATCAACCAAGGCGATCTTCAAGCCCGCCAAGTCTTGTTGCCCAGAAGCGTATCGCCACGCCTTGACGCTTCAACACTCCCTGTGGCTCAGCTCACCAAGGATGACCTCATCAGCTCCATCTTCCGCCGCCGCAATCGATCCAGTGGCTTCTCAATCTTCCTTGCAACGGAAAAGAATGCAGCGAAACTACTCGCGACACCTATGCGCGACTCAGCTATTGCCGGCCCTGCTCTGAGGAAAGCACATCATCGCGCTGGCGCGTATCTGGCCATCGAATTCCTAACCAGTGTGATCGGTGTCGAAGAGTGTCGCATCTCGCATGTCCTGGGGCACCCTACCACAGGTTACCAACTTCGGCATGAACCACAGACGACAATCGTAGCCGCCATGCGAGCCGGAGAACCAATGGCAAGTGGAGTTAACGAGGTATTCCCGCTAGCCATGTTTGTCCATGCCAGCGGTCCAGAGAACATCAAGATCCACCACTTGCAAGGACAACTCCAGGTTTTGCTGGTGGATTCGGTCATCAATAGCGGCAAGACAATCCTTGAATTCGTGCAAGCGATTCGCAAGCTCGATTCCCACATTCGTATCGTCGTTGTAGCCGGTGTAGTCCAGGCGCAATGCACTTCTCCAAACAGCACATTCTACAAGACGCTTGTCAATCACGATAATGTCAGTCTTGTTGCGCTTCGACTTTCAGATACGAAGTTCATTGGCAGCGGCGGCACTGATACTGGCAACCGTCTGTTCAACACAACACATCTGCCATGAGTTATTCTCGGCAATCGAGTTTCGATCAACAGTTTTGTGTACTGGTTCCCATTCTCTGGCTTTCATGATCACACACGATCGAAATCTGTGCAGGGCTGTGATTTATGATGTAATTTGCGCTTGATCAGTCAAAAGTGAACGGGTGTTGAGCCTAAGGTCGTCTCAGAATGAACTATTAAGCTAATAAACCTATCTGGTCACATACGACAGAGATGGTTAAGCTCATTTTTCATTAAACTCAGCACGCATTATAGTGAGCTACTATTTAGAATTGCTGACATTGTCTACTCTTTCTTGATACTACTAGCAGCCCCGGATCCTATCCTCTAGGAAGGCCGTATCTTACCACCCAAGGTCCGACCTAGGGAGCTCTTCATCCGCTTCAGCCCTAAAGATAACACGAGCGTTAGCTACATCATTCGGGTTCCTCAGGATCTGTAGCGCATTAACCCCTTCGTAGCTTCTGTTCTCTAGTGCTATCTGCAGCCGGGGACGGGAATCTCAGGTCTTACACTCGACGTTTGCATTGATGAGATCGAGCTTTTCAGTGCAGAAGTGGAGTTGGACAGCATTTAGTTTTAAGGCTGGTTACATAGCTCATGCGTGCTGGGGCGTATACGCCGATGGCTTGCTAAGTATAGATATTAGTGGTCCTCCTTGGAACATGTTTGCATGCATGTTGTTGATTTATAGCTGTAAGCTTGGATCTCTGCACGTCAGCTTCACAAAGCCCGCTACCCTCTTGTACATTTACATTTGTTTGACACGCTCTCTCACTTTCATCTGCGTTTCTCCAAACATCTGTCGCGCCAGAATGCCGTTTAATCTCGTCATCGCTCACATCGTCTTGCTGCGTCAGCGCCTTATTATGTTCGGTAAACCCAGCATATTAATAATATCACTCCAAATGAGTTCGTGTGATAACTTGGCCGCGATTAACGTGTAAGGCCGGGTTGGCTTGCCGCGGTAGAATGCACGACACTCCAACGGTCGCGTATATGTTCCCACCATCTTTATCCGCAGACATTGCAAGGTCGGGAAAGCCAAATCAGTGTTTAAAACACAGTTAATAGTGGTACCTAGGGTTGGGTTAGTTTATCACATGGTAATTCCTTAGAAAGCGCTGGGTTGGGGTTAATTTATTTTTAGTAACCGCTCCTCCTGTGGTGCAGGAGCTGAGTGCATCACGTGAACAAATAATGAGGCTAGCCATGTACACTTAAAACAAATATTCGAAAGCAACTCCTTCAGCGGCAGGCTTCTAATATTCATCATATCGCCCACGTACGGTACAGATGGTAGCCATTGGAAACGACGGAAATCGAAAAGAGGGTTGTTTACAATAAGCATAGGTATTAAGGGTTTTTGGATAGGCCGTTCAGGTGGGGGGCTGGTTAGCTGGTCTCGTGGAAGGAAGCTGCGGAAACAGACGGCAGGGATAATTGATCGGGTGATTGCATAGGGAACCGCGATGACGGGTAACGAGGAAACAGGGAGCACTAAAGTGCGGAGAGAGGACAGGCAACCGGACAATTAACGAAATGTGTTTGCACGGGAATTTTTTACATTCAACTATCACCGGAGCAACGGAAGTTCGCACTTGTCTGCCGATATAGTTTCTAGTCTTACATACGCTTGTACTTAGTATCGTTCGGTTTGTTCCAGCTTATTGCACCCAGAGTCTAGTAGCTTACCAAAGGCGGAAGTTCGGGGTAGTGGACCAAATACTTTGTCTTTTCCCGGATCACTCGCGGAGCAAGGAGCCATCTTATGGTTTTGATGAAAAAGACAAACCGAAGAATATAGTTTAGCTTGACCGAGCTGCCAGGTCGGAAGGCCAATGGCTTTTAACGAAGCAGCGTCTGACTCCAAGTGCACGTTGAATCGGATTCTCACGGATTCAGTACTCTGCCTTCGCATGTGCCAGCTCTAATCGCCAATCAAGCTTGACAATGGTACATCTGAGGGCACACAGATAAGACAGATGCGACAATCGTATCGTTGGTAGCAATCTCAAGACAGCTTCGTGTAATAGGAGCATGTCCTGTTCCCTCGGCCATTGTTAACATCTGCCCAGACCAGCAACTTCATGTTGATCTCCTCGCAATGCCACGACGCAAGAAGCCGAGATTTACCGACGCTTGTGAGTGCTGCTCACCAGGAGCGCAGACCCCGGGTGGACCCCGAACGAGCCCGCAACAACGTCTTCTGAGTCGCTTTTACGAGCCACTTGTCCTTCTCCGTACCCTGGGCCAAACAAGAGGCGAGCGCGTCTCTCGGGTAGCACATGGGAAGCCGGCCGATCTCTCGAATTGCCAGCTACGCAGGACTTTCCTTGACTGCTTAGCGTACACCTGCGACTACGAAAAGGGCGGTGATACGGTCACATCGATCGCGTTGGAGGGAAAACTACAAGGTCCGGTTTTTTGGATCAGCGCAAACAAGAATCCCTGTCAAAGGGTGACAGATTTCCTAGAGAGAACTTTGGGGAAGCTAAAGGATGCGGCTCAAGCCCCAGAAAAAGATGCATCCGAAGAGGCTCGATCACTATCCAGGGACTTCGTTCTCTTTGCCCGAAGCCGGGCTAAAACGTACTGGTCATGCCTGGCTCGGTGCCTGCAAAGTTGTTTCACCTTGATATCTAGGCAAGGTCTTGACAACGGTATGTTCAAAGCCTGATTGGCCATTGGTGATGAACTAACGAAACAAGATCAAGAGCTCTTTGTCTGGCTTGAACTTTGTAAGTTCGATCCTGCGGACCCATCCCTGCTTTGTCAATCGTGCTACGAAGCACGGAAAGCACCTTAGATAAGACAGCTTGGCGTTTGGAGCTAGAAGTACCTCTACTGCAACGATAAAAATCTACGATCGAATCCGTTCGAGCAGGCGAAACACCACATAGGACAGTTAGGCTTCCACTTTCATGCTACGACGTACTTGATTGCCGCCGCCCGAAGACTCCCTTATCTTTTCGAAGGCTACAAGATCCGCTGTATGAAAACGCCACCGCCCTTACAGCACCCGCCGCCGACAGACGCCAAGACAAATTTCGACAGCATCGTCGTTCGCATGCTTCCATCCAACGCAAAGGACGAAGTTGCTTGCTATCAATTGATGCTCGCTCACATGTCTGAGAAATTCGGACTGTATTCTCGTTTCATGTCGTTCTACAAAGATCGGAACTTCTTACCACGCGTCCATTGCGAGATTAACCTCCTTGAGCATTTTTACACCAAGCGATTGCCGTTTGTCGACTCAGACCGGTATATCGGCTGCAGCAAGCCCGCCTGTTACTGCTGTCTGCTCTACATACGAAACCACCCAGGGTGTTTTGTTGAACCTGCATCCCACCAGACGATCTACTTGAACTGGCGGCCACCGGATCTAGATCTCGAAGACAAGGAAAAGGCGCGAACCCACCAACGTGACATGCTGAACTCGATCATACAAATTCTGAGAAAGGAAGCCCTGCATCAAATATCAGAGCGTGGTAGTCCGGTCGAATGGCACCCGGATTCAACGACAGGCATCACAGCATCGGACAACCCTATCCAGGACTCACTCGCGGCCCTGGGACAAGGGAAGGACATTTGAGGACGATCACATGAATGCTAAACGTACCTTGTATTCATTAGTGCTAGCCGTCTTTAGTGGAATTTAAGACACTCTGTTACATGTATCTTTTGGTTGGTGAGAGGCAGGCCATAGATTGAATTCACTCTTCATTTTTAATGGTGCTTTTTTGTTCTAGTGATGTTGGATTTTGATGAGTAGAGAATCAATTGGTAGATGCCATTGAGGAGTAAAGCTAGTGGTGGGGGATAGTCCCCTTAAGCTATAGTTCTTGATCTGTACGTAGCGGTGGTGGTGGTTGGATTAACGTCTAGGTACTAAGTCTAAGTACATGTCGGCCTAGCAGCCGTGCCTCCCGTGGGGCTTAATAGACGGGTGGAGTAGACCACCTTTTCGCCGGACAAAGAAAAGATAATACGCGGAAAACCTCTTCAAATTCTCGTAATAATCCTGTTTCCTCCTAGCTACTTCCCTCCGAAGCGGTTCTTTATTCGGGTTATTTTTGCTAAGAAACGACCCCCGTATCGTAGGTAATAAGAATTATTAATAATAAGGAAAACCCGCTGAAACCTTAAAATAAGAGGAGTAACGTCGGCTAGATATTCGTATTTTCTAGAGACCGATCTAAAGGGGTAGATCTCTTTCGCTCGATAGAAGATAGAATACGGCGTAATTTTTATGCGTAAAATAAACGCTTCGGCGGGAGAAGCGAGAAAAAGTCGGTTTCGCTAAGGCGGAGGTTCTTCGGTAGAGTCGAGTAGTATCTGTAGGTGGGGCTCTTTCGAATTGAGGGTCGGGCTTTGGAATAAAAGCTGGTTGTTCGAGGTCGGAGTAGGATTTGAACCTACACCCCAGGTATTCCACTCCAGGGATAGCCAGGCGTTTAACCACTACGCCATCCGCCCCGGTACGTAGCGGGTAAGGCAACAAAGCATGAAGTTCAATAATCAAATATTTCGATAAATGCATAAGCCTTAATGAACAGGCTCAATTGCACCCCAAGATATATGGGAGGATGGTCTATTAGGGCTACGATTTCCTCTATGGGGACAAGGAAGTCGCCCGTACATTTCCACGCCTTTCAGTTCTACGAGCAGCGAGTTATACGCTCGCGCCAAACGCAGCCATGGTGCGCAGCTTCTCGGGCGTAAAGGCGTTGGAGCAGACAGGCGCGAACGCGTAGCCCTTGGCGGCGCAGACGAAAGCGAGCGAGGACCCCGTGCTGCCGCCGGTCGCTTCGGTGACGGTCATGCTTGGGCGGAGCTCGGCGGCGGCGATAAGGGTAGCGGCGAGGCGGTCTTTGTAGCTGCCGGTCGGATTGAGGCTTTCGAGCTTGACGTAGACATTGGCGTAGGTGGAGGCAGGCGCGACGTGGCGGAAGAGGACTGCGGGCGTGTTGCCGATGGCGGAGAGGGGGGTGGCGATGGGGGGTGGGGGTGCGGGCATCGTGGATGGGTTGCAAGAAGATTAAGAAAGTGGCACTGCGAGAGAATACTGGAAATGAATTGGAATTGGCTTAGGGTGAGTCAGTTGTTGCAAGCCATCTACTAAGGATGGGTTCGGCCCGGAATCGGGTACAGAAGTAGCCGATCCCGAAAGGTTGAGATATCTCCGCGGAGCACACCAAATACAAGGGCAAGAGTACGCATATAATTGGTTGCATCATGATTATTTGCGGAAGGATAACAGACGCGAGACAGCATAGCAATGTCGAAGCTTGTAATACGGTTTTCTGTCATGATGAGTACACCTTGGAAGTACTTGATTCCGCAACCGACCTCTTTACGCCTGTTGCCGATGCAGTTACGACCGACGACCGCGTCCTCGTCATCGCATTGGCATAGAGTAGATGGCGCTGGGTCACGCTTAGAAACTCGCCAAAAACTCGGAACTATACTGGATTGGTATCCTAAACCCAGCCGTGATCACAAGATGGGGGGATTCTAGCTAACTGTAGAAGTAATGGATTTTACATTCAATTGATGAAATAATAAAATGATGATGAAGGAAAACTCTACTTTATATCACACCTACGTTGTTTAAAAGCGAGTAAATAGGCCAATGAAAATAATAGAAAATAGAGATAATAGTCGATCTTATTTTTGATTAGTAAACTTTTAAATGTTGAGTAACGGTAAATACATAGTATACTCCAACTAATCTTTCTCGACAAGGCAGAAAAAAATTTTTGACCAGATACAAAAGACTTTAGTGTAGAGGCTTTAGATATTGTCGTACTCCTCGAAATTGCCGTGTTTTAGAGTTAAGATAAAACTAAAAATATCCTCTACGAACTACACAACCACACCAATTATTTTTCGGACCAGAACATAAGCAAGTAACCACTTGGATTTGTCTAATAGCCAAGCAAGCTACGAAAGGTAGGATGTTGTTGATAAGCTTGTTAACCACATCTGCGGAACGGAAGATAGAGAAGGCGTGCTGCTAGAGGCACCGGCGGAGCTGGCCGCAGATGCAATGGTAGCGAGGCTGTTAAGTTTGCTGCTCCGAGGAGGTAAACGAGAGGACCTAGGAGCTGGTAGAGGGCTTCTTGGCGGAAATGGAGGGCTTCTTAGTGAAAGTGGCAGTCTGCTGGGTAAAAGTAGAGGGCTGCTCGGTGGAGGCGGAGGCGGATGAGGATTTGAGGCCGTACGGGCCCAGCATAGCTGGAGGAGGGACGAGACCGGGGCCGGTGGGGAAGAGGGGCGCCGCAACGATCGAGTTGGTGGCCTGACGTGGCTCGACAGGCACAGCAGAGATGAAAGTTCCGAGGGCCAGGACGGCCATGATGAAGTTGAGAGAGTACATCCTTAACAGATAAAAGAATTTAGAAGTATAAGATATCAGTACAGTAAAAGACTAATAATGGCGGTGTAATTAAGGGGTGTTTAGCGAACTCTTAATAAGTAGAGATCGTTATCGTAATAAGGGCTCTAAGTACGTCCGCGCTACTAGATATATATTACCTTAAGTTGCAGAATCCGATCTCGATGTCTAGATCTATCTAAAAGTAGGCCTACTTACGATACCTACTATAGTTAGTCTTACTATAGTTTTAATACCGTTCTACGGAGTTTTTAGAAGCTTTTAGATATCGATAAGTTCGATAGTTTTAGTAAAGTAATATAAGATCTTCGACTTAAATAAAAGTTTTATATATAAACGGTAAGAGCGTAGAGTATAGAAGTATAATCTGCGTCCGCGCTCGCTACACCTTTAAGTCGTACAATAACCCCGAAATCACATTTTTATTTAATTCACGTGGATAAAGTTGGTTTATAGCTAGCTGTTAACCAATATCTTTGGTAGAAACGAACTTATATAAGACGCATTCTAGTAATCCGGCACGAAGAACTCGTCTACGCTGCCCCGATAGTTATATATATTTTATTTCTTCTTTATACACTATAGTTATTAGAGAAGATTTCTACTAACTATAACCTTATTTATACAAGCTTTAAAATTATCGATTCGCACGAACTCCGTATCGAAAGTAATTATTCGACTTAAAAGAATACCCGTAACCGTATTATAATCTCTACCTACTTTTCTCTTAAACTACGGATTATTCTATTATATAATATCTAGTTTTTCGACTCGGACTTAGATTAGCGACTGTTTATCTATTTTCCTTTTAGTCGTTTATCTACTTTACTTTTACTAGTAGAAAGAAGTACTTTTATTTAGGCGGAAGGTCTATCGAGTCTAGAGCGTGGGGCAGAGTCTCTAGTAGATACTATCTCCGGATCGGAAATAGAAATTAGCGTCTTCGAAGTGTCCGTAGCGGTACGGTCTATATTACCCCTGCGTTTAGACGAAAACGAATCACACCTCGCACGACTAGCGCAATCCGCTAGCGCTGGCCAATAGTAATTATATTTACGTATTGTATTAACTTCGAAAGTGTCGGTAGTATAGTATATAGTAATACGATTATAAAGTCTTGTTACGGAACACCTGCAGAAGGACAGAAGTTGGGAACGCGGCGCCAAGCGAATCCCCGCGCCGAGGATCGGTGACCACGCTCATTACTCAGCACCACCACTGACGGTCATGACGCCAAGACCACACCCTCAGTCATGACCTACCTCCACACAACGGTCAGGAATTACGGTCATAAGGCAAATGTTTCCTTGTATATATAGCACACTCATTTACAGTAGATAGGACCTCCGTGGTCAATTCCAATCATTGCCCTGCACCCCTCCTGTTACCTTCCCTGCCTGACTACGGCTGCTATCCTCTGCACACAGTGTCCAGTGACCTCTCAGATAGCGGTAGTGAACCCTCGACGCTGTGAACCTCCCCGACGTTCTCGCTTCACCCCCATTCCCGAGCCCCAGCGTAACAAGTCTACTTTTAGTAGAATAAGAAGCAGATTTTAAGCAAAATCGTAGAGGATATAAGTCCGCGGTATATACTAATTAGTACTATTACAATCGATTTAAAGTCTCCTTCTAGAGATTCTAAGGATTATACGATAAATAGATTTTGAAGTCTTTTCGATAACGGAGCGTATAAATATAGAGCACTCTTAGCGTTTTAAAAGATAATCTCTATTTTTAGGGACTAAAACCTTAAATACTTATACGTCTAAAAGTATTTTATTCGTTTCTTCTCTTAATAAAAATTTAACCGTAGATAATAAAGATCTCTTTAACGCAGCTTAGTTATCGTCTAAAACTAATATAGACTAAGAGCTTAACCCGTAATAGTATAACGACTATAGTTAAACGTATGGAATCGCATTCTTTATTTATATAATGACTTATAAATAGAGTAAGAGCCTTATTTTCTAAATATACTTATATATATTTCTATTAATTAGTATAATAGATGGTTAGAATAGTTACGATCTCTAGGCAACTTTTAAAGAAGTTATTAAGAAGCGTTTAGAAAGAATAAACGCTCTACTAGTACTAAGTAATATAGATATATAACTTTTTTTTAAGTAGAGATAGATAATATAACGTACTATTATCTAAGTCTAAAACCAGTTTAAATATATTAAGCAAGTACAATTATTTATACTTGTCCTAAGATATATACTCCAATCCACTCAGGGTTCACTACATTTAGGGCTACGCTATACCGTAAACACATTAGACTCTACTTTTGATCCGCACCGCTAACATCCTTTCCTACCCTTGCCCATAGTTGTAAGTCGATTTAGTCGTAGTCGACTTTAAAGTAAAAGAGGCCTATCGTTGCAGCTACCTAATTTTTGCTTCGATATCTGAGGGTCGTTCAGTCTGGTTCAGATCAAGTGATGGAATATTGTTTTGCCGAAGCATGGTTGTTTACTGACAGTTGGCGCGTCATTACGCGCCATGACGCGCGCGTGTCGCGTTTACTTGTGTGTCGGTTGCGCCGCAGCCTATTCTCTACTTCCTAACCATCTCCATCTCTATCACTCAACAACTCCCTTATCACCAAATCCCGCATTCAATCGCTCGTCCATCGTTAGCTGCGTCCTGCACTTCGCCTTTCCGCTTATCGCGTACCAGTCGGTCAACCTTCTGTCCATCTAGCCGTCCTACGCATATCCGCGTATTATTCGTCCCCATAGGCCAGCTCGCATACAGTTCGCTCGACTAGGAAGCTTAGGCCATTCCTGGGGCAAGGCGCTCGAGTCCAGTTCCTTCCATCAATACAAGCGGGATCTACAATTTCGGAGTTTTCCGTGCAGGATCTGTGGTTGTGCGTCCCTTCGTCCCGTACAGTCTCAATCTGTGGGGTCATAAAGCCCTTGTCTTCCGGGCTTCGTCAGACCACTCTACGGATAGTATCTGGACGTCTTATATGCCAAGCTTCCCTAAATTTTCGGCCTTAGCTAGAGAGAATGGAGCCACTTTGTACCGATTGCCGCCAGCTTATTTCGCGAGACATCTTCCAGAGTACACGCGAGTCCGGAGAATGGGGACTTCGTGTGCGCAAGCCGTTTGAGGCTATTCTTGAGAACGGTTCCTGTGGATTATGTCAGCTCGTGTATCGCACTCTGGAAAGTGACTCTTTTGGAAAAGAGATAAGCCCTGGGGACGAGGTCTATTACTATTGTGAGATATATGGGGAGATACGTGACAAGTATGTTCATCTTAGATTAATCCGTGTTTACAATATGAAGTTCGAACTGAGGAATGAATGTGTAGATACATCACGAACAGGCTAGTGGTTTCGACTAACTCCGCCCGTCCACTCTCACCAGGCTACGAGTTTGCACGCATTGCAGATTGCTGGGCAAATTATGACTCCATTCAGCGACACGAATATGCTGAAGGAGAGATAATGCTCATACCAGAGGGCTCTGATCAAAACCTGTCTGATGTGGAAAACCTATTCCACGGAAGATCTGTTCGATCCCAGGTCGACTTCAATCTTCTCCGGTCTTGGATTCAAGCATGCCATGAGGCACACGGATCAGATTGCTCACCATATCAATTCAAGTACCTCACTAGGCCATCAATACTCGTTGATGTTGACTTGATGTGTATAAAAATGGTCAAAGAAGGAGATCATCTTGCCTATGCGGCCTTGAGCTACGTCTGGGGTCCGCGTACCACAAAGCAGTACGAGCTTAACAAGAGAACGAAAACACGACTGCAGGTCCCAAACGGCTTGTACAATGGACAAGTCCCGAAGACAATCCACGATGCGATGACAGTTTGTTCCAAGATTGGGATCCGGTATCTTTGGGTAGACGCGTTATGTATTCAACAAGACTTGTCGCAGGGGGAAAAAGACAAAGAGCTAAGGAAAATGGCATCCATCTACAATAACGCCATTGTAACCATTGTTGCAGCTGCAGAAGGGGATTCCTGGGAGGGTCTTCCTGGAGTACACGAAGGCACACGGCAGAGACAAGAGTGTGTCAGACTCAATGGGCTTCTCCTAGCTTGTGCCGGCTCCGATTTTCGTAGAATCATGGAACCCGCAACTTGGACTCGACGGGGCTGGACATTTCAAGAGCGGGTCTTGTCTCGTAGACTGCTCGTGTTCACTTCAGAGATTGTATTTTTCAATTGCCAGAGCGATCTTTGGATAGAGGATACCTACCTCGAGAAACAAGCCCCATCAATCCTGAACGAGACTGAAACAGTGCTGCCTTGGACCGAACAGCCATTCTGGAAGAAATGCTTGAACAACTGGTCTCGAGAAGACTCTTTCTTCGACAAATATGCGGGACTCGTCAAGGACTATTCCAAGCGGGACTTGTCGAGAGATACCGACGGCCTACGAGCGTTTGGTGGCCTGTCGGATGTTCTCAAGCAGTCCTTTGACGTGGAATTCCACTATGGATTGCCAGTTCGCTACTTAGACGCAGCTCTCTGCTTTTCAACAACATGGATGGACTTGGAATGCCGACGCCGGAAAAGTTTTCCAACATGGAGCTGGAGTCATTGGAAAATAGACGAGGGCGTTGACTATGACTGGTGGTACAATCAAGAGTCAGGATCCTACGACGAGCCGCACCAAGAAGAATACATCACGTACTATCGTGTGGCCTCGAGGGAGGCGCGTCGCATCGTTCCCGTCTGCGAGACAAGGAACCCTCAAATCACGAATGAGGATGACGTGCGAAAGGTCGAATCCGAAACTACATCTTTACTGCACACACTGGACTCTATCGGAAATGATGTTGTGAGTCCTGAGAGACTGCTCATATTCCGGGCCCGATGCAGATACCTTCGTGTGGTTGTGACGGATGAGACTGGACGTTACCATCTAATCATTCCAGACTCTGGGAAAGTGCTGGGTTATATCAGGCTTCCTGACGAATTCGGACAGAGGCAGAACGAGGACTTTGAATTTGTGCTGATGTACCAGGAAGGGAACGGTCTATTCTTGTTGATGTTAGATCAATTTCCATATGGTGTGTCATCTCGGATACAGTCGTGCGTGATTGGAAGGGATATTCCCATCAGGGACTGGCAAGAACGGACGGTGTTTCTTACCTAAGGCTATTGAGTAACAATAGAAATATTAGAATCTCTTGTAAAGATAATAAGGAAAAAAATCGAAGTAGGCGTTTCCTTCGTAGTCTGTACAGCGGCCTCTTCCTTATGCGGTTTTTTGTTGTCTAGGTCTATCATAATATATACGGATTCTATACTGGGATAAGATTTGCACCTTCAGTATTGCACTCTCTCATGTCTCTATAACGTTTCGGTGATTCCCTTCAAAATTTTGTACATCAAGGCGCTCCCTCAACTCTATTCAAGAAGCAGGCAAAAATTTAGACTTCTTCTTCTGACCTCACTTGGTGTAATGGCGGGCCTCTGCCTCTAAGGATCAAACACCGAAGAGGGCGGAAACCTGCCGAAGGGTTTTCCTTGAGTGGGTACAAGAAGAGGGTGAGATGAAGAGAACAAGCATCACGACTGAGCACTGCGTTTGCGAAGACCGTGTTACCAATAGAGTGTAAATTCTATTGCTGAAGTATGTTTAGAAAGTTAACCACGAGGGTTAAAGCTATCTAAGAAGTGTGATTTATATACATAGAGAAATTCTTAATCTGGTATACTGCTTTACTTGCTCTGTAGCTCTTGGCATGATTTGCTGATGGAATTCGCGCTTGATCGGTCGAATCATCGATGGATCGAGTGTCTTGCTTGTTGTTTTAATCTACTTGGTGTTCAACCCAAAGTCGTCTCAGAATGAGCGACTAAGTTAATAAACTTATCCAATAACAAACAACTGAGGTGATTGAGCTCATATTCTATCAATAGACTATCATAGCCATTCTCTAAACTCGACCGGTGGTGCCTCATCGCCCCGTCGTCGTCGTCAGCGGCGGCAGCATCGTCGTCAGTGACGTGTGGTCAAGCAGGCGGTTTCAACGGCAGCGCGGCTCTGGCTGCTGCGGCTGGGGCGGCGGCGGGCGCTTTAGTGTTGTCGGAAATCGGTTTGAAGAAAGCTCCATGGCGCTAGAGCTGAGGATTCAATCCAAAGCCCTTTTTGCCTTTCGCGTGTGCCCATGTGTGCGAGGCCATGGAAAGATTGGCCACCAGCTTCAGGAAAACCGAGTCTACCGTACCTTTAGTATATTGCCTACGCAGGCGATGGTAGGCGAGGTGTGGACGATTCCGATGATTTTTTAGATAATATGATGGAACAAAATGGGGAGAAGTTCCGGTGATTAAACTATCGAGCGATTGCTTATATACACTGAGCTGACTAAGCAGAGATGCGACAGACTGCCTTCGTTCCATCATGATATGAAAGGTTGCTGTCCCCGCTACAGGGTGAGTTGTCGCAGCTAATTAACCCTAATGGGCTGGGGTGGGCCGCGAGCGTCAAGTTGCCGTGCATGGCCATAGCTAGCCTAAACGGGCAGGAGGGGTGCAACACATCTGCGCACAGCGGCGGCTCCAATAGCGGTGAGGGAAGAGATAGCTCAGTCGCGAAGATTAAAGAAAAGCAAAGCCCCGATACGGGCCCTAATCATACATTCATCTACCGTAATTAATATCACCTGTAGAGCGTACTCATAGCAACACTACAGGCCAAAAAGGATCAAAGCCTAGCTCCATTGGAAAAGTAAATCACTAACACTGCCAACGCCGCCATACCATGTGGGATAATATGAGGGAGGCTACCTTGGAAGGAATCCCTACCCGTACTCGGCCAGCACCTTGCTCACACATATACCCTTTGCGCGGTTGTACTTATCCTTGAGCTCCACATTATCGCTGGAAGCGACCGCGTCCCGCGCCGCGTCGCCCAGCGCCAGCAGATCCGCCCACGCCATGAAGTCGGCAAAGCAGTCACCATCCTCCTCATCGAGCATCCATGCCAATAGGCGTTCCATATCGGTCACGTAGAACTCGCGCATGTGCTGGGCATGATCGACTGCGGCGTTGGCGTGGGGTTCATAGAAGAACAGCGCGGCGCAGCGGGCGCGGGCGGCGCGAAAGGCGTGCAGGTCGGAGGCACGGGCGTGACGGCCCATGGCGCGGAGGGTGGGGCGCAGGTGTGGGTGGCAGTAGACCGTGGGGTTAACAGTGAGGGCTTGGGTGATCCACATCGCGAGGGTGCCCTCAAGGTCGACGCGAGTCCTGAGCGTAGCTGCATCTGGGGATGAGACGAGGGCAGGAGGCTGTGGACTTTCTGGGACGTTGCAGCTGGGGCTGAGGCTGCGTTCCACGCATACGACCGGGAGCGCATTGTCCTGCTCATTGTAAGGCGGAGGATGTGCTGCGGAGCTATGTCGTGGAAAGCTCTTAGTTTCGTGACGGCGGGCTTTCTTAGCGGACCCAAACAGCTCACAGCGGCTCCAATCGAGAGGTGCCAAGTTGGCGCCAACTTCGGCGGCAAGGATAAGACCAAGCGGGTTAAGTGCGTCGTTTCGTAGGTGGTCAGCAATGCACTTCAGTCCAGTCCGGGCATAGTCACTGGGTTTGAGAAATACAGTGAAGTCGAGGGTCTGCGAAAGGGATTTTAGACCGGCGAGGATGTTGCTGGCGGTTGCATTTGTGGGCCGAATGACCTCCAGGTTACTAGTGGGCAGAGTGACATAGCCGGGCTCTTTTAGACTGAAAGTGGCAGCGAGAACGAAGCCGTTATCGGAGAAGCCAGCCCCATGGAGCGCCGGAGCCAAGGCACCCGTCTCAGGGATTTTGAGTGTTTCGAAAGCGAAGGAGCGAGATGCCAAAGAACTAGCAGGTAGCACGAGCATCACGGGTCGACGGCGGCTGCGACCGTGCACGCAGAGAGAAAGGCTAAGCGTAAAGCGAACGAAGGCTTCGAGGGCGGGACCGAGGCTAACTTTCAGCATGAACCAACTATCTTCGCCGTTGGTGGGCAGCACAGACCCAAGAGTGGCGACGCGGCCATCAGCATGCGCCCACTGAGCCACCACACACTCGTTGATGCACTCGTTGAGCAGGCTATGTGCCATGTCCTAGAGAGCAAGTCAGCGTAGAAAAGTGTATGCCCTTGCACAGTTAAGTGCAAGATACCCGCCCACCCAGGCTTCGCGGGCGACAACTTGAATGTGCTCCGGAGCAGCCTTGACTCCAATTGTCGCAACGCCCGAGCTAGGTCCAGACCACTACGAGCTTAGGGCAGTCCCCAGACGACAACCGGGCCACTCCGACCCGAGGGTAGTCCCAGCACGGAGCCGGAACCAGACCACTGCGAGCCTAGGGCAGTCTTCGAATGAGAACCAAGCCACTCCAGCACGAGGGTGGTCCCAGCACGGGCGGTTCAATACGGAGTTGGTATTGTTCGGAGATGGAGGAGCGCGGCGGGCGGATGGCGTAGATGCGACGGGCGTGTGATAGTACTAGAGTATGAATGGTGGGTGGCGCGCGCACTAATGGTTGATGGGCGCGTAAAGATGGCGAGGAGCGGAAGGGTCGGAGAGATGGACAATTGGAGAGGACGGTCGGAGTGGTGTGAAGTTGGAGAGGTGGAGGCGCGCGGTCGCGTTCCTTGGCTCGGTTGCGGCGGATTATCATTCACCAGGTTTATCCGGCTTGGCGCGTCGGGTTGCTTCTAAGATATTACCTCCATGTATGCCGGGCCTGCCTGCGTGCCGAGATGAATACGAGATACTTCTACTTGGCAGCGATATAAAATCTGTGCACACACTGATATTTTCATAGCTCTAGGCGAAATTTGCTCTACAGGTGATATTTAGTACGTAAGATATATGTTCAAATCCACCGCGCTCTTCCAAATCCACCGCGCAGGGGTCTTTCTATTTTGGGTTTAATCCTCCCGCAGCCTTACCGCCTCCTCGCCTCGCCAAAATTCTGCCTCACATTACTTTCTTTCGCCTATCCGTCTATTAGCCAAACCCCCGCTAGCCTTAGAACCACGTCAGTAAAAATAATTGCTTTGAAACCTTCAAGTGCATGCTTTAATTCGTCTGCGTTCGTGCTGTGTAGTTTAATTCTTGACAGCTCTTTTTGTTGATGCGCAATATTTGAGTAGAAACAGGTCTTTTCTGATAAACAGCCCTCTTTCAGGAACACCAACATTCTGCCGTTTTATACCAGCCGGAACCCTAACCTTATGTTGAAACAAAAGAGGATGCAAGAATATCCCTAAGGCGCAAATACCTTCAGCCTGCACAGTTACTACGTCGTCCGCGAAGATCGACGAGAAATCCGACTGGCCCCTCGGCGAACGGCGACATCCAAGTCCACACCTAAAACCTCACCGCTTACGGCTTCTTTTACCTCTCCCTCCCTAGCCCTCACATCAAAAAAAAAAAATTAGAAATGCCCTACTAGGGCCTCCGCTACTGACTCTCCTGCTTCGACGACTTCCTCAATCCGTCCTATCAAATAGAAGATGGGTAATCACCAACGCGAGCAACGCGGTCCTAACAGCGCCGTAGTGTTGCTTTGCCCTTGACTCGGCAATTTGCGAGCTGCTCTCCGTCTCCGGGCGATCGGCAGTAGAATGCCCGTACCAAGGTCGATGGACGGACCCCGCGAAAGGGTTCTACTCCGGTACGGTCGGTTCAGGGTACGGTCGATTCAGATTGGAGTCTCCCCAAAGCAGCGCAGTCGCACAGAGAGCGATCAGAAGGCCAAAGGCTTCGCGGGTACACTATTGAGGCGACAACCGCTGCAGCCCGACGTCAAAAAAAAGTCGGCGGTTGATTTTTGATAGGGACAACGTGACCCACAAAGTGTGGTGAGCAACCCATGTGCGCTTCCTTGCTGCGCCGCCACCTGGATTTTTCTCACCTTGGGGCGCGAGGCTGGGTTGCGTCTGCACTGTCGTTCGCAGCACTGCTACTCGCGCCCATGTCATGGGGCTCTGCTGCGTGGTCTGCGCGAAAGGGGCTGCCGTATTGGTAGTGTCCGTGGTGCGCTTGATGGCGCTGGTGTCCTTGATATCGTTCGCGGTCTGAAGGTCTCAGCTCATAGTCGCCCTCAGCTCGGCCGGCGTCGGCTGCCTGAGGGCTTTTTGCACAGATCAATGGCGCTCTCGATCAGCGTGTTACGGGGCAATTGCGCGTGGTTGTGAGGCGTAATTCCAAGAATTCGTTCTCGCTGGAGATGATTATTTTCCAACCACTCCTCCTGTGGTGCAGGAGCTGGGCTTGTCACGTGAGTAGCGAATATAGATAGCCGAGGTAACTGAAAGCTGCTCCTTCAGCAGCAGAATCTTCCTCCGACCGCTCGCGCCTGGTCTGGACGACAACCAATCAGAGCGGAAATAATTGGACAGAGGGCTGTTTACAATTAAGCATAGGCCTCAGGCTCACCAACCGACCATCAGTCTATTGCTACATTGTAGTTACGCAGAATTCAATCTGATTTTCTCTGACCCCAAACTTCGACAGAAAAGGAAAATACATTGTATCTATTACAAAATTGTGCAGTTCCATCCCTTTGCAGATATTAGCATTTATTTTGCAAGAGCGTCCAAGAAAGTGCAACATTATACTCCCACTTTATCAATTGAACTGGAAGAGATGTGACCAGCAACAACTTTTCAAGGGAGAGGTAGAAGAGCGGACAAAGAATAATAGCCATACTCACTTGTGAAGTTTCCAACCTTTCCTTCTCCTGTTCGATATTCCTAAGCTTCAAATCCAAAGCTTTCCTTTCCTCAACCAACGCCATTACTTCTCTGCCTTGCTTTTTTTGCTCCTGTTGTAGCCCCTCGAGTTCCACCCGTAGCTTTCTGTTCATTTCGTCGAGCTCGCTATTCAACTGGATGCCTGCAGACGTCTTGACGAGCGCGCCACCATTATGTAGAAGCTCCTTCTGCATCAGAAGCTCCAAAGGCTTAGACTCGCCACACAGCATAGAGACAATGCGGCGTGCCGATTCCTGATTGTCGTCATGGCGCTCCACACGCGCGCCACTTCCAACCATTTGGCCCCAAATCCCCTCTGACACCGTCCTCATCTCCATTCTCTGCATGGCATCCTCGGGGCAGCGGATCTCGTCCCACATGGTTGTCGCGATCACAACCTTGGAGAACACTTCGGGGCCACATATTTTCTCGAATAGTCGTAAACGTTTCCTTTCACTCCCTTGGATGCGGTTGGCATTGATAGGTTGCAAGAGAATGACTCCGGTGAGCATCACGCCCTTGAAATAGTTCGTTTGCAACCAGTTTGCTAGAAGTTCCAGGATATCCGTATCACTCCTGTATGTGTCGTCAAAACCTGGTGTGTCGATTAACCGGACGGTTTCACCATCAAGTTCCATGTCGTATGACTCCACGTCTTTGGTGCCTAGTGCAAGCATTAGTTGATTTAGAATGGGTGATTGTGCTCTTGTCAAAGCGATTTACAAGACTCTAGTGCATGGCCGATGACGAGGTTGTCCATTCCGGTTGCCCAAGAGATGAAGGTTGTCTTTCCGGCCCCCGTGACCCCCAAAACAGCAATCAGATGGTTTGTGATTTGCTTCCGGTTTCGAGTCATTCTGTCTGTATGTGAACAGATCTTGTGGGGATATAGAGAGGTGGTGTGTGTCCGAATTTCTCTGAGAGCCAACATGCCGTTTAAGTAGCAACGTGGAGCTTGAAAAGGATCTAATGGGGCTTGGCAACGTCCCTGCGTCAGGTTACATCCAGCGCATTCCCTACACAATTAGCAGGAATAGAGGATAGCGGACTGCGTTCAAAATCCATCAAATATCCCACAAACATGTTTAATTTGCCATTGCATGCCCATGCCTTTAGAAAAATTAATGCAAGCTTCATATCTAAGTGGAATGTCTTAATATCCTAAAAATATGCGGAATTTACCAATACATACTAATGCGTTTAGGGTGCAATTCTCATTTCTCGGTGAAATATCTTAATCTAATTTTGTATAAAGTGCATCTACCGAACACGTGGGCTGGCAAACTCTCCGAGACTAGTATTCCGAAACCTCCTGGGCCTCCCTCTGAGTATCTAAAGAATACCGCGCCAAAGGCTCTTTTACCAGTGCAAAGCAACGATTTTACTCAAAGTAAGCTACTCAGTCTACCTCAAAACAGCTGTAACGGTGGGCTCCTTCTACTAAGCTTCGGAGTCGCTTAGTAGGTGGGGTGAACCGAAGGGTTTACCTTGAGGACAAGAGGTGGAGGATAATGATTGGACGAGAAGAGTCATTTGAGTGTGCGATGCACGGTTGAGCCTGGTTACCTCTAAATCAATAGGGTTGAATTGGAACTTTGAGTTGACCACGAGGGTCAAAGGTCTAGCTAACGAGCATACCTATATACTATAGGAAAGTGGTTACAATCTGGATCGATGCAGCTGGATCAGAGCAGCTGGATTGAAGGTGTTGGATCAATCTGCCTGGATCATGATGATCCAGGTGGGTCGCACGTGACCGGAGCTTAGGGCATGTTTCCGACATCCGGTTTCTGACTTCGTCGAACGATCGCGATGTTGTACTGTATCTTGCCCGTTCCCCTCGCCTGTCCGCTTTCCGGCTTCTTGCCTTCCTGCGCTGCTTCGGGAGGATAATCCCACTAATACTGATTTCCTAATTTGGAATCGTGGACAGCTTTCTGGAGGGAGGTTCTTTGGTAAAGAAGGTGTAGAAACGGGCGAAGCGCAGAATAATGTTAAGGGATGATCGGGAGCTTGGCGAGAGATTAGCTTCCGTCCGCTCAAAAGGCGGTGATCGGGCTGTCATCAGCCGCGACACGCTAACGCCAGTCGCGATACACTAACTCCAGTACGGAAACGGCCTTTCAGCTTATTTGAATGTTTGAAAAACGGTCGGCAGCAGGCAACAGGCAGCAGGCAGCAGGCAGCAGGCAGCCGGCAGCCGGCGAGCTTGCCGCCGTCACGAGAGATTGCACCATTTTGGTCCAATGGGACATCGTTCCGTTCCGGGTGGCCACGTCAGCGTTTAGACGATCATCTCGCCTGATGTTGCTTGTAGTAAGACTTGGCAATTAGCCGCCAGGTGCATAGTCCGTTCAACTGCTAAGTATAGCATATTTCGAGTTATGTAGTCAACAAGCATAATAGTGCACAGTACGCGCCCGGTCACAACCAGCTTTCCGCCATCCTATGAGCAACACGCCCACGCGAGATACGTGTTCTGTGAGGCAGGTTGTGAGCACACCAGCTTCCATGTTCCGGCAGAGCATCTGGAAGCCAACCTTCGGCAGACACGCCAAGCAAACAACTGGAAAGCGTGTTTGCGCCCTTCCATCTTGTCAGCTCCGATGCAACGAATGTTGCATTCCCGATCCTGCAATTCTCTAATGGTGACCAAAGGCGAAGAGAAACGGGCAGAACGGTTTGCGACAACAGCCAAGCCGCCATGTCCACTTCCTCACAGGAGCACTTCATGTGGCACCACACAGAGTTCGTGACAGCCGGAAGTGGACACCACGCACGAGTCTCGGCCGAGCAAGCTCTCGCTAACCCTTGTTCTTGGTCTACTTCTAGATTAGCTTGGCCAAGATGACTCAAAAGTATCACTGTATCTTCGCCTAGTGATTGGCCCTCAAGCAACACCCAGCAACGCTAAGTCCTCGGCAACTCGGATTCTACGTAAGTTTTCTCACGTGAACAGCGCTCAGTACTATCACCGCTTTCCTGATAGTGAAGCTGTACATAGAAGCAAGCAATACATTTACGTCACGTGCTGGATGTCATGAACCCGGTCCAACAACTTGCATCATGAATCAGGTGTCAATTTACACAGTACACGTCGCTCACTTACCGAGGCCGCCACGGAGAAGTTTAGCCGGTTTAGATCTGGATGCTTGGCTGGCGTCATCCACCGTGCTTAGCATCGCAAGTATTGCAAGAGCGATGCCGCAGGCACCGGCGCACACATACTGGGCTTTGTACTAATTTCCCCCCGCTGATTGAGAGCCTGGCTCCCACAGATACTCAGGAGGGCTGCTTCAAGACCCTTCATCAAGCTGCTGGGGGTCTACTATGCTCATCTGCCGTAGTGTCAAGTCGTCCGAAGGCGCCTTTGAAGGGGATCTCAAGGGCGACAAGGGAAAAGACAGAAAGGCATCCAATCAATCAGCAGACTCAATAAGCATCGGTTCACAGAGCTGCACGGTTCTCACAATCACTGTGGCATCAGGTCTTGCAGGTGAACTGGTTGTATTTACAGAGTAATCGCTTCTAGAGCGACTGGCTCTCTCAGAGCTATTCAAACTATCGCCACGTCAATACAGGTGGTGTAGATTTCTGGTATCGATCGCCCGTCGCTAAACTGCGTAGGGAAGCTCCAGACCCAGTAAAGCGCGTACTGGGTGCCCGAATCCAAATCAGGTAGTGGAACCTCCGTCCCGCACCAGAGATCTGCTCCTTCGAGCGTTGTGTGGGACCGCTGCGGCAGCAGCCGACGCCTCTTTGACTCTTCGCTCGTGTTCGTCTGATAGCACTTCCCATCGTCGAATGGCGCATCCGTCAAGAGAGCACCCCTGTGGTCGCCGCCCGTCCCATCCTCGCTCCACCTGCCGTGTATGGCCATAAGCGTATCATCATCAGCAGGATCGGCCGTGCCGTAGACCCAGATGTGGCCAGATGATCTCCTATTGGTAGAGTTGCCGAGGAGCGTCACATGACCATTCTCCTGGTACCTCAGAAGTATGGTGCTTCCGGACTTGGCCTGCAACACGGGGTATCCATCAGTCTGGTTAGCAGTCTGCTGAGTCGATTTGCAGATACGATCCGTCAGATAGATTGCCCTGTCCTCACGGTCGTTCGGAGGGATGAGATATTGCATGGTGAAATCATTGAAGTCATCGTTTGGCCAAAAGCCAGAGCCCACTGGAATAACTCGAGGGACTGCAATTGTAAGTACTGTACGCACGCTCCTCCTGCGGAGAGCCCTCACCAAACCCTCGGGGATATCCCGGATCTCCGGCGATGTTTCCATCTTCATCCAAACTCGAGATATCTTCAACCCAAGAGTGGGCAAAGGAGATAGACGCGAAGCATAGAATGGCAGCATAGAATTGAGCCAGCATTGTTTCCTGAGTCAAGATGGCTCACTATGGAGAGCAGCAGGTGCTATTTATATATCCAGGAGCCGCATCAGCCCTGGGTTCATCGGCAAGCTTCCTATCTTGTGAATATATGATGCAAGCCGTTCACGGGCTTTTGTCCACGTCGTGGATGCCAACATGGTGGCATGGCAGATGCTGTGTTCATGAAAGCTGGCGGTCGGGCTGATAACCACATTCCAGAAAACTGCCTGCCAAAAGCTGGCGAGGGTGGGCGGCAATCGTGATGCGCGGCGCGCCAATCACACCGGGGCGGCTGCAGAAGCCGCGGCTGCAGCCAGCTTAAATTAGCCCAACCCTCAGCTTAAGACACGACTCGCCCCTCAAAGAGACTGCGCTTACCATATGAACATCAATCATATCCGCACCGATCTATACTCTATTAAATCTTCATCAACCTCGGGCAGCAGACGATGGAGCAAGTCGAGCAAACCGATGCCAAGCAACAGGATCACGGTCACACGGACCTTCCCGAATCCATTGCTTCAACGGAGACCAGCTTCGGCCCGTTTGTCATACCCGAGGGCCAACAAGGGTCCGAAAAAGGAAGCTCCACCGGCACATCCTTTTCTCTGGGATATAACACCCCCTTCCTTCCACCAGGTGCTATCGAATCCGCCTTGTACATGCTGAATCTTGAGATTCAGGCCCACGCGCACACGGAGGAGACTCTGCGACAGGTTATGATGAAAGCATCAAGCTTAGAACGGCACTATGTGCATCAGTCTATTGCGCTTTCGGCATGGCAAGCGTCATACCAGGAATGCTGCGCCAACGCCCAGCGCCAGGCTGAAGAGATCGAAGAGCTCAAGGGCAAAATTGAGCGGCTGAAGAATGAATATCAGCAACCGCATGAAGAGGCGTTCTCATGGCGTGAACCCCCTCGCCCTGCCTCGGCGTAAGTGGTCGGCAAACGCGATTGCAGGACTGGTTCCGAGAGGGGGTCAAAGAATGCAGCACTGCTCCTGTGCCAAATTGATGCCGAAGAGTCTATCGCAATGAGCAGAGGTTTCGCAAATGTCGAGTCCGTTGTGGATGCCGGCGATCTTGACCATAGCCTCGTTCTAGTCGATCTACATAGCTTTATTATATGCATGTCGCAAGGCTCTCAGCGCTGTCGGGAGAATAGGCTCACTTAGGAGATCCATGATTAATTCAGCTTGACATGTCTCCATAATGGCATTTTTACATAACCCTTCCGTTCTACGTAGTGAAATCGATTGACTCGTCGATCAATTCTTCCACGCTACAATACTATACAAGAGCCTTCTTTCTATGCATATGCATGTCACTCCAAGGGGCGATGCAGAATTTGCCACGATTGACGAGTGCGAAAGCTCCCGAAAAGGGTTTCTTGTAAGTACAGAAAGACTATATACCAGCGTCCTCTAATGCCCCCTCAAGCCTATCGTCCTTGTACAATGCAACCAGCACACAAGCAGCCATCTGCGTGTTAAAGGACGCTTTGAGCCGGGTGTAATCCTCCTCGCACCCAGGCTTGGGCACGCCTTCGTCCCCACCGATCTTTTCCCATTCGCAAGCAAGATGTTGTAAGGCTACTAGCTCGTCATAGATAAGGGTGTCACTAGCGATACCTAGGCGATTGAAGATCAATCGAGAGATCCAGGTTGCCCGGTCTGTGGCCTTGACTTCCCAAGGGCCTTTCTCACTGCTGGCCCGCTTACCTTTCGGATCACGTTTAAGAAACAGATCCACGCACTCCTCCCTGATGCGCTGGTACTTCTCCGTCTCTTTTAACCGGATGGCGCGACACATGTCACGAAGCTGACTGGAGTAAGCATCGTGAGCATCTGGTTGGTGAGCCCACACGGCTTTCAGCCACAACACGGCATCGCAAAACCAGCTGAACTGGCTCTCGTCGAAAATAGCGCGATTGTGACCCTTTGAAGCAAAGACAGAACAAGACACAATGGCATTAGCCGACATGTGCCGCAGAACAGCAGATTTGACGTCCGTCTGACGACTCATCCTCCAAGACTTCCGTGTGCTACCGGATTCCGTATCGGAGACGGCCTCATCGGCTTTGCGTTTGAGACGGCGGCGTTCCCGTGGGCCACCTTTGCGATCACCATTCGCTTGGAGGGCCGCTTCGGCTTGACGGACCTTCTGTCGTTTTACTCGAGCGCCCTCGTCTCCGGACATCTCGTCCTCGAAACGAACGGTCCGCTGCGGACCTTGTTCAGGAGGAACAGGTGTTTCCTGGACGACTTGGGGCGCTTGCTCGGAAACTTCCTCGTACGGTGGTGGGTTTTCTTCGATGAGTGGGTTCCATCCGGGAGTCAGCGTGTCTCTCGAGTGAATCTGGTACGTTTCCCAGTCGTTAATCGCCACCTTGCGTCCGCTGAAGGTTGACTGATAGTCGATCTCGGGGGATGTAGCATCGCCGCTGCGAAGTCCGCGAAAGAATCGTTCCACCACATTCTCACTCGCCGTCGTTCGAGGTAGGTAGACTTCAAAACTCATGGCCTCAGATAGAGACTTCAAGCTCAAAAGTAGCCCACGAGCATGCTCGCTTGGTTGTTTCGGAGTTGCCGGCACCTGCATGACAACATGGCCTGGTGCCTTGAGCGAAAAGTGACAACGGACAAAGTCTTTTCCTTCCTTGACGCCTGCCTTCTTGAATTGTGGAGCTTCTGGTGGAACGAGGATGTCGTAATATGAGGCATCGCGTGTGTCCAAAGCATCGACCGGGATAACAAGATATGTGTTGAAATGACCCTTTGACGAAACGCTAAGTTTAAGCGACAAGTGGATGCTAAGCATAACTTCGCCAGGCTTGTCGCTGCAGCCAAAAGCGACGGAGCAGTGCTTGCTGCCTCCAGCAAAAACGTTCCCAAGAACGCACATGTTGTTCACCGAAGGGTCCTGCCACGTGACGAGAAAAGAGCTGGCAGAGTTCCATGTCATGCGCGAGTGCGTGTCCAAGGCACGGAAACGCCCAGATAAATTGTCATCGGACATACAAGCGGCGTGGTCATTCATCTATTTGTTTGAACGATCAATTATTGTATTCAATCATTGTAAAGGAAAAATTAGCCCCCAGCCGCGACTGCGGTGGGAATCCCGCCCTCCCAGGCTTTTCAAGCCAAACGCTTAGGAGCAGCCTTGACTCAGGTGCAAACGCATTACCACTTCATCCAGCCCACCAGTCCAACCCCGCGAATGCAAATTGGCGAGGAGGGTGTAAGAGGCAAACGTCAGACCTCCCCCGCCTATGCCGCGCGAAAGAACAAGGGGGTGAAGGAGTGTAGACAAGCAGTCAACCATTCCAGACTCCCGCTTATCCAATCTGCACAACACAGGGGAGGGAGCTGGCGCAGAAGAAGTGACGGGCTGAGACCGACAGAAATCTCAAATCCAACCAATGAATATGTACAAAGATGATCGGAAGAAAAACAAAAGACGTACAGTGGAAGAAACCACGACACGTCGTGAGGGTTGGTGTTATAAGGAGAGAATGGGGTCGGTGGATGCACAGACGATGCGACCGCGGAACGGGGCGGCCGCTTCTTAAGGGCGCCAAAATTTTGGTGGCAGGTAACGGCTTGGCGGGACCAACAGGATCCACGTGACGGTGCACGGTCCACAGACTGTGCGCGAATGGAAAAACGAATCAAATCAGACCGATTCACTGAGGCAAAGACGTTGGAAATGGATAGAAGCTAACCAGCAGGAGATGACTGAGCTGCTACTTATATGTTTGTCTTGCATCGGAATAACTCGCCTGCTTCGACTCGTAGGGGGGATAGCCCGCCTAGTCCAAACCAAAGCGGGACACGCCGTCGCACGGTCCACACAGCGCGTACGGGCTAGCCGCCGTGCCCCACATTGGCTTAGCTCGATCAACCTTCATTGCTTTTCCGTCAGCAGACACTTCTTTAAATAACTCATCGGCTTGACCAAGGCAGAATGGAAGGATGAAGGTCGTGAAGTTTTTCTTCGATCACACTACGGGCTTGTTACCATGCTGAATAACTGTATCAAGGAGTGCGGTGTCTTGAGCAAGCAGGCAGTCACCTTTCACAGTTAAGAAGAGCAAGTACTGCATTAAATTGCTACAGTTATCCCTCCGCCAACTCCGTACGATGTTTAGAGAAGTTGTAAATGAAATAGTCGTATTCCGACTCTTCTGTAAGTATACGAAAAGGTAGAGACGTAAGAGGGTTTCCAGCCGGGCTATCTTCGTGTGACCACAATTTTTGATGGAAGGGAATCATCCGAACATACTTCAAAGAAGAACAATACTTCTTGAGCTCCAAAACGCCCTCACATTGCTTCTGCCAGGTTTCAGGATCGCTCTTGGTCGTGACGGTGAGTGTAAAGACGATTCGGCGAACAGAAAGACCAAACTTTCTCGGGGGTTCGTTTGGTGGTTCGAGAGGTAAGCTGAGAAACTCAGAGAGATGGGGTGCTTCTATTTGCATGGTGTTGTGTTCCAGAAGGTACGAAAGAGACTCGTAGCGGACCTCGCGGCTGGCGTAGAAAAGTCCGCCCGCAGCCAACTTCTCGGATGGTGAGGAGGGAGTATCCATTCGATGCCTATATTTCCCATTCCATGTGATATGTCCAGGGTATACAAGGAGCAGCTCGTATATCATGTACCTCACGTCGAATGGTAAATGCATGAACTCGAAAGGCCGCTGCCTGGCCACGCGAGCGCGAGCGGGCTTAGGCCCAAGTCTGAGGAAGCGTTGTACCTTTGCAAGTGCCTTCCAGTCGAGGTTGCAGTTTGGAACAAAACGATTGCTTTGGAGCTCGCCGAAGTGGATGTATTTGAGGAATGCGTTACCGTTGGTACCAATGGCGACTCGTGTAGTTGGACGTGTGCATTCGCTCCTGGTCCAGCTGGCACCATTTTCATGAAGGAACGAAATAGCATGCCGGATTTGCCAAAACCACCTTTCCCTTTGCGTCAATGAGACAATACGAATGTCCACCTGGTCAAGGGTCTGGCCACCAGCCTCGATCGATTCGTAAAGTGCAGCCAGGACCATGCCTGGTTTCTCAGGTGTGCAGACAAGCCCGAAAAACCGCGGGATGGCGCCTGGTCTTGCCGGAGAGTCGGTGACCTTCTTCCATACGCGCACTTCTTGAAGGAAGCTGACGTAGTCAGGTGGCTTTGAGAAGTCGTTGGGCGCGTAGCACCCATAACGGTGGCCATCCAGCTGAACCTGGAAGTGCGAGTCCGTTTCCTTCTCCAAAACTTCGACGGTTCGCCAGTCGTACCATAGGAGGTCTGTATCGTCGCATTTGATTCCTCGCGTCTCTTCTGTCCTGGTGATCTCATCGATGGCAAGCCTTTTGTTGGACAATAAGACCCGAGTGTGCCAGCGAGTGAGATAATCCTTGAGGGTCCTGTGATTATGGTTGAACGCAGCGAAGTAACCACCGCAGGAATTCACAACTGACTTCGTCAGATCCCATAATGAGCCGCCGTCTGCCAGTTTCTCCCTTTTGTAAACAGCGTAGGGAGCGAAAGCCGGAGGGACATCGAGTTCGAACGTCTTTCCGCCAATCTGGGCCAAGATGTGTATCCGGGCCGGGCGTAAATTGAGTCCGATGGGATCGCAATAGAACTGATCAGCGTAGGCCGGTGAAGGGCGGCATACAGAGCAGCCACGTATAGAGAGGCAAGAAGATGAAACCGGATCCGCATCCATTGCAGAAGTTGGAGTCGCAAAGAGAAGCTGAATTTGCTCAAAGATTGAGAGGTATTTGAGATGGAGAATCAATCTGGAGGTGTTGAAAGGAGAGGGGTGGGCTTAAATAGAGCAGACGACGCCAGTGCTGCGGATGACCGGGGGGTGAGGTGTGATGTTTCCCGCCTATTAAAGGCAAGGTCTAGCGACCACCCTCTTACGTTCGAGCCCACTACATCAGCCAGATTGAGTGTACTTCTTCCCGGTCCTATTCCGCTCTTCCGAGGCATCGTGTCCTCTGCCTCCACCCATGCGCACCATGCGTCATCCTTGATGCTGTCACGGCACAAAAGCGGAGTGATCTTCTCTCATTGACCAAGAGAGCCTTCAATTGAATTAGCGTGAAGGAGGGAGAATATTATACCGACCGTCCAGGCGGCTCTAGAGAAGTACGATCATTACCCTTCGAGTAGACATGTAGGCCGAGAACGTCGGCTATACACGCAGGAAACGTAGAAGGTCTCCCCGTTCACTGCAGAAAAGGCTATGTACACACAACCACACAGATGCAAAGCTCAACGCAGCGGCCTAATTGCACCATGCAGGAGGCTGAGCTACTATGCACGAGGTGGAACAAAGCTCTACACCCGCACCAGTGGGTCGATTCAACCACTTTCTCGCCTTCGTTGCGCGTGTTAGCCGGCTCGAAAGCAGACATTTTTAGGATAGATCATCGATGCTGTAACCTCCTCCTTCGGTTAGCTATTCACTACGGGGCACATACCGTAGCGATACGCCACTCATGCCATGACCGACATTCCGAAATACCCGAAAGGCTCGTCTCGGTCAAAAGGTCGTGTGCGTTGAGTAGGTGGGGCCCAGGTCAGGGTCGCATTGGTATCTCTCCAACTCCCCGCGTGCGCAAGGCACTCGCCCGTGTCTGGACTTCGCAAGACGTGTGGAAGTGATAGGCGGCCGAAATTGCCGCAGCATGACCATGTCCATTACTCGTTGTCGTCTGGCGAGAGCTGGAGGAACGTGTGCCACCCTACTGGAACGTCTGACCAGGATCGCAGAGGGTGGGTCTCACGTCACGAGTCATAATTTCCTATGGAGGTGCTTGACGCTCTCTCTGGAAGTGTCGGACTCGGCTCTGGCATCCCTGCCGTCTTATTCCTTTGAGGTAAAGCCCAAAGCTGATCAAGCTCAAGAGCTTCTCTTATGTAGCCACCATAACACGTAAAAGCTATAATCAGGGAACAGTTTGTTTGTCTCAACCCCCAAGTCTCAGCTTGCACCATGAACACAATGTCCCGAGCGATTGGAAAAACTAATGACCATGGTCTCAGTTTTGAACCATTTTCCTATGAAGTGGTAAGTTTCATGACGGCGTACCACAATGATCTTTCACTCATCATTACAGGAGGGCATTTTCAATCATTTCGCCGACGCCGAATCCAGCTGGCTTTCCCGCGCGCTTGAGGTTGAGCCAAGTCCTGATGACAACGCTTTTTTGTGCTCAATTCCTGAGCCAGCCGTACCGGCTGATGATGGGCTAGATGCGCCCTCGAAGTTCCTCCAGGACGACTATGTCCTGAAGCAGGGGGAGCGCATGACTGCGGCAGTCAAGGCTCCCACCGAAAGCTTCGATGACAACGGCGACGTCGACGTGGACCCCCGTTGGGCTCCGTTCGAGACCCTTCACGCAAGCAAGACCCTTCACGCAAGCAAGACCCTTCACGCAAGCAAGACCCTTCACGCAAGCAAGACCCTTCACGC